CTTTCACTGAATTCTTATGATACGCTTTTCGTCATTGAATCATTCAAAATCATTCTCCAACGAAAGCAGCACCACAACAAGAACAAGAAAAGATATAATTCAACCTAAGATTCTTATTTATTATTAGATGAGGTTAAAACAATGATTCTGATTCTTCATATATTCTCTAACTCATCCCTACAAATACAGTGCAAGTCCATTAATATCGATCGATAGTGAAAACTTAGGTGTCTATTATTTAGGGCTAAAATAAAATCAAATATACCAACAAATTTCCCAATTGTAAATTTCAACTGCTTGTTTGATTTTTTTTTTTCTTTCGGATTTTTGAAATTGAAAAATCAAACTGCTCTGAATTTTAAAGGTTAGATTTTAGTATATATGTATATATATCAACAATAAGAATGAGATTTCAAGGGTAGAACTCTTGACCACTTTATGAAACAAGATTATAATATCATTTTAAAATTAAATTAGGATTAAGTTAAGAATGAATGATAAATAAATAAAAATACGTACGATATTTTATTTGGTTTGGTTATAAACCTAGTTTCTTTTATATTTATTTCGGTAAAAAATAAAAATAAAAAAAACCCAAAAGCAGAATATTACAAGCAACATTGATCGAGGGATAAGAACTCCAATCATATCCTGAAACAACAACTTAGTTTTTTCTATGGAGAAAAATAAAAATATATTTTGATTTGCTAGCCAGTCTGTACAGATTTCTTTAAGAGTGAGCTGTATTCCGAACATGGCCAACCACGTGATTCTTTGAAAAGACCATCCCAGGCTAAATAATTAGTAAAACACGTACTGGGTCTATGCTTAAATTAAGTTCAGCCATGAGTGCGTGGCCTTACTATAATTTATTAAGAAATTAAATAAAAAATGATTAATTAGAAAAAAATTAATTTGGAAAATGATTGAAGTAAAATAAGAAAAGTATTTTAGTAAAATTAGAAAGAATATAAAAGAATTTCTTTTTGTTTTTTTAGCATAGCTGTCAAAAGAGTGCAATTGGAGAGGGAAAAAAAGGTAAGGGTTTTTCTTATACTTTTGACAAATTCTATAGGAAGAAAACAATGATTTTTGGTACACTAGGGTGTTTGATAATCTAATTAAGTAGTTTAAAAAATTAAGTTGTACTACTTAATATAAAAATCTTATTTGATAACTTAAATGATCTCATATTAAAACTTTAAGTTCGAGTTAAAATCTACTTAATCGGATAAGTTAAAATTTTTAACTTATCCGATTAAGTCAAACTATCTAAAACATACTCTCTCTCTCTCTCTCTCTCTCTCTCTCTCTCTCTCTCTCTCTCTCTCTCTCTCTCTCTATATATATATATATATATATATATATATATCGAATTTATAAATTATAATAATATATTTTTAAAAAATAAAACATCGACGTTATAAAATTTTATTCCAAAATTCATATATTAAAAAATCAAATTTATTAACAAATAAAATGCTATAAAAAATTAATTTGATGAGAATTTTAGTAAGAAAAAAATAATTGAAAAAAATAAATTTTAAACAATAAAAGTAATATAATCGGATACATATGTTCAAACTAAAATCTTAAAAAATATTATATATAGTATATTATCTTCAAATAGACTTATTATATTCAGTATTTAATTTTCAATAAATATCAAACAGACTTGTCATGAACATATTCGAGTACTTAACGATTCGACACTTAATTTTCAGCTTTATCAAACATCACCTTAAATATTAGAGCTTTTCTATTATTGATTTTTTGATACTAAAGCCATAGAGAATTATGACATTTAAAGTGATGTTCTCATACAATATTAAACTTTACAAATTTCAGATTTTTGTAGTGAGAGACAGATTTATATAGAAAAATAATTTATATTATTGTCAATATTTTTAAATTTTAAGTTCACAAAGAAATTTAAATGATTGTATTGTTTTCTTAATTATAATAAATTATTTTAGAGTTGGTTTTATGATTGTTTTATTTACGTTAAAAAGGATTTTTCACATAAATTTGAAGTTTTTTTGTAATTGTATTTTTGTGATTGATTTATTCTATATTCTTGATTTTTTTGTGTATTTGACTTGATTATTTTCTGATGAAATCTAATTATACTGTATGGATTGAATTTCCAACAACACGAAATGATAGTTATAACTAAGACAGCTGAATATATTCAAAAAATACCTTGTGTAATCCATAAATCTCAGCCCATCCTTAAACCTAGAACCGCTGCCACATCTCCACTTCTCTACAGAAATTCAACAACCAAGTTAGCTCTGAAACCATGCAGCCTCCTGCTACTGTCACATATAAAACCCCCGGCGCTAGCAAGGCAGGATTGTGCTTACTTGCTTTAATATCAATGTTAACTTCATCGAAATCTTCATGAGGCTTCTCCCAATTCACCAGCTTCTCTTCCTCCACCCAATATTGCCACCTCCGTTAAACATATAATTTGATCCAATGTATTTAACAAAAGCTAGAATCTCATTACTAGTTACCAATGCACTGTCTCTGCACTCTTAAAAACTATAGCATTCCACTTTCATATTTTCCAAACCACCTAACCAAAAAAATATTCCATGTCATAGATCGAATGATATAAATAATGTTTTGAAATCGTATCTAATAATTTAAATTTATAGATTAAAATAATTTTTTAATATAATATTAAAATCTTAATGATTAAACGATCATGAAATCGAATATCATAATTTATTTTTTAATTAAATCAAAAATTAATTACAAAATAGTACTAAGCTTTTATAAGTTTCAAGTGTAAATGATTTTTATTTGAAAAGGTATATTATAAATATATATAGAGAGAGAGGCTTAAGAGTGCAACTTACAAGAATTTTTTTTTTTCTTGACTAAAGGGAGGGAGCAATATATATTATTGTTTTTAAAAATTCTTTCATTTGTTTTTTCTTATACTGCCACCAAGAACCATATAATTTTATTTTTTCTTTATTTGGATAAGAGTGGCATTATTTATTTATTTTTGAGTTTCAAGTCTTATAATTAATGCAAACTTATTAGAGACGATAATATATCCGAGTTTGTTATATCATTAAGACAACATTCAACAAACACTTTATTTGTTATATCAAAAAAATTTACGGAGGACACATATCGTCTTAAAAAATAAAATAAAAAGTAACCCGGCTATGTTTCAAGATAATTACCTATAAAAATTTTGTTAAGTTATTTAGATGTTTCCCATAATCATGATTTTTTTAGGTAATATTATTCTTCATGTTTTTCCAACAACGAAGGACCGTATTACGGATGAAAAACACTAATGTTAAGTATATGCAAAGCTCCACTAAAGTTGCTGACGTTAACAAATCATTCTGCTTTTGTAGTGTAAATTTCAAAAGATGGAGGTAAAAAAAACTTTATTTTATCTTAATTTTATTGAATGTTAGTTATGTCTTAATAGAAACAAAATGAATGGCGAAAGATAACTCAACATGATCTAAAAGTTAAGAAATAGGAAAATAATGGTAATTATTATTGCAATTATTTATTTAATTATCTTTTTGATGAGATTTATAAATACTATGACTAATGATATTCTTTTGTTAAGAAGATTTAGATGGCTTTATACAAAAAAATATGACATCCAAGAAGCTGAATGCAAAAAATATGTTTGCAGTCGTTTTTTAAGTTTAACCACAACAAAATAGAGGATTAGCGATCACTTTTTAACAAAAACTCACAAATTCGCGACGGTTTGAAAAAAATAATGATAATTGTTCGTATATTAAATGATTTGGTTTTGTCCGATCAAGAATATTATACGGGAAAACACTAGTTAGATCAATATGTGTTGAGGAGTGATGAAGTTTATATTGGCATGTAATTTAATTCAAGAAATCTTTATTTTATTTTTAAATAAAAAAATTATTAAATCTACGTTAATGCATCTAGTTATATAGTAAGTTAAATAAATAATATGTCAAAAAAACACGTGGACATATCTATCAACATAAAACTCTATATGTTGACTGTAATATTAAGACACGTCCGGTACTCTAATACCATTTGATCTATGCCATTGAGCATGACCAATGGTTTTATTGGACACGAAACCTAAAGAAATGGAAGAAAACTAAAATTCCCAAGTTAATTAATAAAATCAATCACAAAAAAAAAAAAAAAAAAAATCAATCACAATACTGAATGTACAAGCATTTTAAAATACCAGGTACAACCGTACAAGCATCGTAAAGCATTTTAAAATTATATATTAAACTGAACATTTTATTAGGGGAACATTTTTTATGCTCACCAAGAAATGAAAAAAAAAAAAAAGGAAAAAGAAAACGCAAGCCAAGAAAGGTTTCTTGGCTTTTTATAAGAAGAAGAAGCGTTCAAGCAACTCCAATATCTCATTGTCTCTATCTCTCTCTAGATTTTACTTCATTCTCCAAAATACTCGGAGATTACTAGAGATTTCAAAAAGTATCAAACTTTAATGACACTTCTCTTTGGAAATTAAAGGTAAGAGACATCTTTCCAATATATTATAGGCTCTTTACTTATGGGGCATGATCTGTTAAGTAAACCTTCCTGCTTACTATTATTACTTCATAGATTTATATAAGCTGGTGAAGTATCGATTTTCTGTTAAAGAACTGCTTAGAAATGTTTCTATTAAGTTCTGGTTGTGTGAGTTTGGTTTTTGCTTTGAGCTTTGTTTGGTAGCATGGAAATTATGGGAAAGAAAGAAAAAGAAACTTTAATTACTCCGAGTTCTTTAATTTGACATAAGAAGTAAAAATTATGCCTAGGAGTGGTATTGGTGATGATTTCTTAACATTTGGAAACTATAATAGTATAGAAACAAGATATTAATGTCTTATTCTATTTATTTTCCTTTTTTTTCCTTTTTATGGAATTCTCTCTTCAAAGGTAAACCTGGTTATTTGCTCTTCGATTTGATTTACCTAATCACTGCAGATCAACCTTTCTGGGGAATGGAAATTCTTACTTCCAGTACTGCACCGCGTTCTCTTGATGTAAATTTGAGGTGGAAATTAGCTGAAAAGGGATCAAATTCTTGCCGGTCAAAGCTCCCTACAAGTAGAGAGCACAAAAGTTTGTTTGCTAGGATTGACCGTAGAAGTGGGTCATTGAGATTTTCTAGTGCTGATAAGTTGTTCTTAAAAAACCTCAATCGTGGGGAAGGTTCTAGGTTACTTGACGCCCTTGGAGGATTACAGAAAGGTGATTTAAAGGTTTTCAGTGGAAATTCTAGTAGTTATGTGGTTGGTGGAGAGGAGGATGTGGGGAGTGTTACAGAAAATGGAGAATCTCCGACTAAGGTTTTGATTCCAGGGTTGCCAGATGAATCAAATGATTATAATGCTCCCATAAGCAGTTGTTTTTGGGAATGGAAGCCTAAACTTAGTGTGCATTATGAGAAAGCTGGTTGTGAAAATGTGAAATCTCCACCAGTGTTGTTTCTTCCTGGGTTTGGTGTTGGTTCCTTTCACTATGAGAAGCAATTGAAGGATTTGGGTCGTGACTATAGAGTATGGGCGATTGATTTTCTTGGGCAGGGAATGTCATTGCCAGTTGAAAACCCTACTCTGGTCTCAAAGCAAGAGGTTACCCCAGAAGGGAAGGATCCCATTTGGGGATTTGGAGATGAGATTGAACCATGGGCTAATAAGCTTGTTTTCTCTATGGATTTATGGCGGGACCAAGTTCGCTATTTCATAGAAGAGGTAGTCAAACATCCTTACATGTTTTCTCTGATTCAATCTACAATTGCAAAAGATGGCTGAGACAATTACCCATGCTCGCATATTGTATATGGATATCCACAATAATAATACACATTGCCTTAATTTTGCATTGTTGTACATTCATGCTCTTTCTGTAGGATTTATATGTTTAAGCTCACATGAAGGATTAGTCAGCATTGAATTACTATCCTTCATCCTAATTTCCTTTTGGGTATCATTGTTCCTAGTGCTGTTCCAAAGTGAGCAATAAACTCAGTTACTCTATTGATGATCTGCAATTCCTATGATTTTTTTTTTCCCATGCCTTTGCAAACTTATCACACTTCTAAATTCCATAGAGTGCTGCTTTATCTAATTTTGTCTGGTCTTGTCTTTGTTTTTTTCACTCATTTAGGAAAGCAGCTATTTCTTTTTTAACTTTTGACCTATCAATTCTCATAAATACTACTGAAAATCGATTCAACTCCACTTTTATGTACCTTTGTTCCTTCGTACTTTACTTTTCCAACTCCATACTTTCATGTTTCAAGAATACCTTTTTTCCTCAACTCTATACATGATTTCGTATCTTTGTGCCTCAAGACCATAGCTTTATGTTTGCCATGCTATTAGCTCTTCTCATATCTTTTAATTCTCATGGATTCTTAAAGAGATGGACACCAAAGCTTGTTTCTTACTTTTTTCTTGCCATCTGCATGGGCATGTTGTGCTTTAATCAAATTCACAAGTGTTGTATTTGAGACATTAGCACATTAGTCATTTATATTTGATATGAATGGATGTTGCATGGTTGCAAACCTTTGAAAATCATTCTTGGCCTCACTTGTCACTAGAAATCCCTGAAAAATTGAACCTGGCATAAAAAGGCAGGGGATGTAGTGGCCACCATTGCTACTTAAAACAATATTAAGTTGGCTCAAACTTCTTCTCCACCATGCTTTTTGTCCGTCTTCATTACAAGCAATACCTATTCCGCTGTTTCCACATCAGCACTTGAAACCTTCACTTCCTTATATTTGTTACTCTTGCTGCTATCTTCATCCTCCATCTACCATGGCAATTCCCCTTACTATGCACGGTGAGGACACAAACAGGGGAAATGTTTTTATTGTTTTAGGTATGTCTTTAAGATTAAAATTTATGACAACATGGCCATTTATGTTAGAGAAATGCGTCGTGATAGCACAGAATGGTACGGATTACATTAATCATTTCTGCTACAGGTGATTGGCGAACCAGTATATGTTGTAGGAAACTCACTGGGAGGATTTGTTGCACTATACTTTGCAGCAAGCAACCCTCAATTAGTGAAAGGTGTTACATTGCTAAATGCAACTCCGTTTTGGGGGTTTCTACCTAATCCAGTAAGATCCCCAGGATTAGCAAGGATATTTCCATGGTCTGGGACATTTCCTCTACCTGCAAATGTTAGAAAGCTCACTGAATTCTTGTAAGTTTTCCTTTTACCATGCATGCATGCAACTATTTTGTGGCCTGTACACTGAAGGTCCAGAGAATTAACATGCCTGTCTATAAATAATACACAGTACATGTTGTTGGTGAAGTTTATAGAGAGTCTCACCAAGGCCTTGCATAAATTTTGAACGCAATAATTTTGTTGCTGGGGCCGGCTTCGTGTAGTTTCTTGTTTTGTTTAACATAAGTGTCTGAAGAAATAAGCGGCTGCATTCATCTCTCGAAAGACATTATTGCTTGAATTAAATTCCTATTGCCTGCACCATCACCACTTCTATTACTGTTATGTATCAATCTTCTCCAACTTACTAATGTTATTAATTTCTTTGCCAGTTGGCAGAAAATAAGTGATCCTAAAAGTATTGCAGAGATACTTAAACAGGTTTACACAGATCATTCTACAAATATCGACAAAGTGTTTTCTCGTATACTTGAGATTACACAACACCCTGCTGCTGCTGCATCATTTGCCTCAATTATGTTTGCTCCTCGGGGACAGCTATCCTTCAGGGAGACTTTAGCCGGGTAGGCACTGCACAACTCTTTAACTGCTTTTGATAAGTCATTCCTTTTTTCTTGCTCGAACTGAAGGGCTCATAGCTTTTTGTGTATTTAGGTGTAAAATGAGCGATATTCCCATTTGTCTCATGTATGGAAAAGAGGACCCCTGGGTGAAGCCTGTCTGGGGCCTTCAGGTGAAACAACAGGTGCCTGAAGCTCCATATTATGAGATCAGCCCAGCTGGTCACTGTCCTCATGATGAAGTTCCTGAGGTATGTATCTGATCACTTGTTAGCTTGATGGAACTTTCTATGGACTATCCCATAGTTCATGCTGTGAAGACGGTGTTCAGGCTTCTATTTGTTTGGATAAAGAACACCTGTTTTTTTTTTAAGTAAAGACTGTGATAATTGTTTCAGTAATAAGTACGTTAAGCTAGCTTATGGGAAGTAGAAAACTTGAATAAGGTGAGAATAATTGTTGAAACTTCAATGGCCATACCAGTTCAAAGGAGATGATTTTCAAGAATCTTGCTGTTATGAGTCAATTTGATAACTACAAGTAAATTTCGCATATATAGCGGCTGCAATTACAAGAGAAAGAGGGCCTTTCAGCTGTACATGACATTGGTAATTAGATAGAATCAAAAGTTTAGTTTCCACTTATGTGGAGGGAGAGACAGAGAATGAGAATGTCTTACTTTCTTTGGCATCCTTGCAGTGGGCTCAAATTTAATTTTCCACTTACCCAACTAGGTTTTCTAGGATTAATTAATGCACCGTTCTGTAAGGAAAGAATGAAATCTTAAGGCATCCTGCAAGCATCAAGTGTTTGGGGAAGTGGTTCTTTGTTGCATTGGAGTTCCCCATAGTTACTGTATTGCTGCCTGGGTCTGATCCAATTGATGTGTTCAGTCTAGGCTTTGAAATTGATAAATCTTTCCGAGCCTTGTACGCCTACTTTTTATTTCTTCAATAGACAGCTGACTCTCTGTGTTAACACAGGTTGTGAATTACTTGCTTCGTGGGTGGATTAAAAACCTGGAATCCCATGGTTCAGTTGCACTACCTTTACTTGATGATGCGGAAGTTGTCGAGAATAACATTGCCAGGGACTTAGAATTTGTAAGAGAAGGATCAAGAAAATCAGTTAGTGTGCGGTTCTTTGGATCCAGATTTTCTATTTGGAATAGATTTAGGTCTTACATTAAATCTCAGTTCAGGAAACTACAAACCAAATCCTGACCCCATAGCTACTTGCCCTAGAACATGATGTAAATTTGAAAAGGATTGTTCCTCTCTTTTTTAATTTGTACTATACTGATATGATAAATTGTAACATTAGATGTAAAAAATTGTAGAATCAATGTATACGTCCACATTAATTTTGCATTCGAGCTGTCATTCATGTTTTCTGTAACAATATCCTTTGAATCAAGGGAAATAATTTGTTATTTGATAGTAAGAAAGAAAAAAAAATCGAATTCAGATTTTGACAAGTGACAATCTAATTGAATACCAGTTGTTCAACATTAACTATAATTAGGGTGTTATTTAATCATAGTATATAATAAGCTACAAAAAAATAGAAAAGATACAATAATAAATCAAATTGATATGGTTGGAGGACATTTTTATACTCGGATTAAAAAATAGCGATCTTAAAGATGCATTTTTATACTAAGTTGAGAAATTGAATAAACTTTTTTAATACTAAGCCAATCTCTTGAAATTATAATCTATTTTCAATAAAGTATTTTCAATTTATTTTATTAGGTTGAATGAAGTACTCTATTTTTTTTAATTTTTTTATTTGCCTTCTGGAACGCAACTTCTCTATTGGCGTATTCTATTGTTAACAACCCTTATACAATGCATGCAATTGAAAATGAAGAAGAGTCAAAATTTCCTCCCATAAAATAAAACAAGTATTTTTCTAGAAACATCTTTAAAAAGAGAACGTCTTGACAAGGTAATAGAATCCTAAAATTGATGCTTGAGTGATTGGTTCTGATCTTAATTATTAGGTTTAAACTTTAAGCAACTAATGAAAAGTAAAATTTTCATCAATTTTTAATTCATATATAAACATTCTATTTTTTATTACCTTTTTTTATTTTTATTTTTTTTGGAGGATGAATATAGGAGCACCTTTGGTCTGAAGAGGAATACAAGACAAGCGGATCGTTTCCGAAACATAGCGGGTGGCACATGGTCAACCGACGCCATCTCACGGGACCAGATGACAAGGTTGCTGTCTAAGACATTCCGGTCCGTAAAGCCTCCAAACCTTAAAGCATCATCATCAAAACCACCTCCATCACCACAACAACCACCGTCCTCATCATCGTCATCGCCCCTATCAAGAACAACAAAAGCAAAATCGAGCTCAAATTCGAAATCAAGAACATGGTCTGTGTATCTTATTCTTTCTACCAACACCCCCATCAAGACTTACGTTGGTGTCACCACCAATTTCTCCCGCCGGTGCGTTTATTTCTTTGATTCAGTTCTTATTTTCTGGAATTCAATGCAAATGCTTATCTGGGTCAATTTCAATTAGTGTTGATGTGATGAATTCATTTCATGATTTGAATAAGTAAATAGGGCAGTTTTGTAATCATTTCTGCAACGAAAAAATTGATAACTTGCTGGTTAATTTATTAATTGCGGATGGCTTTGAGCCAGTTTTTGTATTGACCCGTGTTCAGTATGGTTTCCGATTTACCATACTTGTGAAACATATCCACAAATGGGTTGTTTTATTGTTATTCAAGTATGTGCAATTTAGAAATCAATGGATGCGTACTTATTGAAAATTGGCACTTTTTAACGCAGCTTGAAGCAACATAATGGCGAACTTAAAGGAGGTGCAAAAGCATCTCGTGCAGGAAGGCCATGGATTTGTGCATGCATTATTCACGGTTTTAATGATCAAAGTGAAGGTAATATTCTTCTTTTTACCACTTCACAAATGCCAATGAGAAAGCTATTTTCCATACTGCTGTGTCTTGATCTTTCCCTTGATATTTTGATTTGTGGCATGATTTTGTTTAATCTATTGATTTTTTTCCTGTTATGTTTTATTTTTAGCTTGCGAGTTTGAATCAAAATGGAAAAGCTTTTCAAAGACATTGCCTCGAAAAAGGATAGATGGTGACCAGATGAAGCAGAGCAGCCAGGACTCTCACCGACTTCTGCAACACAGGAAGACTGCTCTTGATAGGGTTGAAGGTTTGTTCAAGTGTAGTCATTTGGAAATTGACTGGAAATTGAATTATTTCTGATTCTGATATATGTGATCATGTTAGACACATTCTAAGTTATTGCACTCTTTGTGGATAATATTGCATACCACTCATACCATGATTTGATCATTGATATGTACAGTTGAGAAAATTCAATATATTCATTTCTTTATATTCACAATATCCTCCTTGAATGTGACTCCAATTGCATTCTTTTGAAGTGATCGAAGCAAAGATGTGGTAAAATTATTGCAAGATAAGAATTTTATTGATTGCATATATAGAAATTAGTGAGGCATTTGTGAAATTATAACCTGTTGCTCAAGAGAGGTAAGGTTATGAAGCTCCCTGGATGTGCATTCCAGATTATAATTGTTTCCAACAATATAAAGATAGTTTATGGATGTGGGAGCAACAGATCATCTCAACTGAGCCGATTTAAAGCTGTTGAAGAGAAGGGAATCTGTGAAGTCCCCATTCTGATATTTGACAGCTGCTGGGATTTCAAAGCAGGATTACCATTTATAGTCAATCAACTGACATTGCTGAGATTGAGACTCCACACCTTTTCAAGTTCATATGTTTTGCTGTTGTAATGCATTTGAGATTATCACTAGCCATAGTCTGTATGAGTGACTCCGTTTGCTAGCTATCAGAAAAATAAATCCACATTGTTCCCTCTTTTGGAAGAGTCAGAAGGAACTTCCAAGCGTATGTCAGTGTATAATAATCTCTCATCCTATTCATTTGAATAAGAAAGCTCCATAAATATAAGTTAACGAATATTCTTACACAAGTGATTTATAAAATATTTGTATTTGTATTAGTAAGATTTTTATAGTATGTTTGTGTATTACTAGTACTATTCTTTGAATAATTATCCACTATACGAGTATGAATGGAAATGTAATGGCATATTTTAATTTTTTTATTGATTATTTCATTATATAATTGTAATTGTATTGTTAATGCCATAAGATTTACATTTCATTATTATTTAAGAAACTTTTCTATAAAAAATATCACATCACTTCTTAAGAAAATATATAGGAGAAAAACATTTAAAAATCCGATAATCATATCAGAATTCAATGTTTGAATCTAACAAACTTTGCAAAATCTTAAACAACAAACAGTACAAGTTGTCTCAAAAAGTAACTGCCAATACTTAAATAACTGTCGAGGAATTTCGAAGAGTAAATACCAAAACAATCTTTGTGATTGAAATTTTACAATACTTAAAAAATAATTACCAATGCTTAATCACTAATTAAATACAATTAAAAGAACTTGTTGTAGCTGGTGATTTTTTCACCAGTGGCCACCCTTCATCTCTCTAGTTCTCTTTTATTTATTTATTATTTTTTTTAAAGTGTGTTAACAATTTATATCTAAATTTTAAATTTAGATTTGATTTGTGCACAAAATTCCTATTTTATTAGGATGTTTTGTTCTTAGAATAAAGCTTTGATGTCCGTTTATTGAATTGTGGTGGATGTTTCTTCTTGCTGGAAAGCGATTGACACTCTTAAATCATTTTATATGGTTGAGATTTTATGTCAATTGGGCCTGGTAGTTCGGGCTGTTTTTCCATTGATAGTTTATGGGGGTGCTAAACTCAATTTTGTGCGTAATGTTTAAAAAAAATATATATATATATATATACCTCATCTTGAACAACATTCATCGAGAAATCTTAGTGAGCTTTTGTTAATTTCCATTAAAAAAAACTATTTATTGCATAAAATATATTATTTATTATTATTTTAAAAGGAATTTGTCTAATTTTTTCATGTAATAAGTTGCAATTTCCTTCTTAGTTTTTAGTGTTATTGGTTAAAAAAAAGTGATATATTTGTTTAATTTATATCATCAATAAAAATATTATATTTTATTAAATAAAAAAAAACTATATATAAATAGTAATGAGGATATTTTTATCTACCTCAAAAATAATTTTTTTTTTAATTTTTTCTCTCTTGTTTTTATATGCTCTTTGTGTTTATTTCTCTTTTATTAAACGAGGACTGATAGTTATTGTTGGGACTAACATAAAATTTTTGGATCAAATGTACATTCATGAATCCAAGACTATTGAATGTATTTTTCCATCTGAACCATCCAAATTCGTCTCATCCTACGGTGGTGTATAAATCAAATCAATTCCAATATGCTGACGGACATTCACTACGAACTTGACTGACGCAGCAAATTCCACCAAGACCCTTTCATTCTCTCTGAAACAGACCCGGTCCATAAACAAGTAACCGTATAAACAATTGCTCATAACTTCAGTTCATAAGACAGACCCGGCCAATAGCAGCAAACCCGGCCCATTAGCTATCTTTTTTTTTTAGCATGTTTATGAATTTTGAGCAATTGTCACATGGTTAACTGAAATTAGAGCAGTTAATATAGGCAGATGCAACTTGCCTAATGAAATGGTAGTTCATAAATAATTCTCAGATGCTGAATCAGAGCCACATTTTGCTTGCAAGATTTACAGGTATAAACTTTCATGTTGAAGATTACTGTATTTTATAGCGGCTCCACAATGCCGATCAACTTCATATATATCTACCGCTATTTGTAAATGAAATGGTAAATTCATTAGGTTCCGAATATATATACATAAATTTTGCAGACAGCCACATTTTTGCTTATTTGGAAACTAATAAAGTATAATGTTCCGAAAAAAAAAATCTTATTCCACCCCAGATCTCAATTCCAATTTCCTCAATTGCAACGGTACTCAGGAATCGTTCAGTACAATCGATGCACATACGTTCTTTCACATTATAGTAGTAAAGTGCCAAATAGCAGTACTGTACTCCTTTTTCATTATTCAAACATTAGTATTTATCACAAATTAAACGAATAAAAGATGATCTAAGGACATTTGTTTCCTAAGTGACTGCATCGACAAATCAGAGACATTTAGTCCACATGATGCTGATCCGTGTAATAATTTTCAAAGACTTCTACACTCAAACCTTAATTATAATGGAAAGTATGCACTAAATAATTACCAAGACGCTGGCTTCCTTTCTTTAAGAACGCTAGTAATTCGCCAAGCTCCGCGGATCCCCTGTCAAAGGCCTTACACCGGTATAACGACGGCAAGAACAGCCAAAATCCTGTCAACAATACAAATCCGATTGTGAAAGCCCCCGATATCAGCGGTGGCAACTGCCACCTCCCGCCAAACTTCTTCTTTAAAGCAATCTCAAATGCGACGCACACTCCATGGAGGAGAAAGAAGCATGTGAGCTGCCATGTTGGCTTCTCACGCCCCATGTAGTAGAAAATAAGCTCGTGCATGAGTCCTGACACAAGAAATGTCCCGAAGAATGCTGGAATAAGTGCCCACTGTCTGCCCACAATTACTGAAGCAAGGTTCCGTGTTGGTTCGTAAACAGAAGGTCGTAGGATACTTGAAACAATGAGGTTCCATCTTCTGCCCCAGAAGTCTTGCAATGAGGTTGAGAGATATGGCTCATTGAACGGTGGCTCGAGCTCTAGCCCCAGGGACACTCGAACCAGGGCGGCCGTTACATCCAAGAGAGTTTCAAGTTCAACGTACAAAAGGAGAAAGTAGAGGAAGGAAATGATCTTTGGATGGATATAATCCCTGTAGTGAGGAACGTTGACCAATATAGCAAAAAGCAAAACCTTGATGGCATAATTTTTAAATGTTTTACCATCTTTAAGTTCTTGGTCGGGTAGATGTGACTTCGAAGATTGCTTTTGGTGGATCCTGATGGGAAAACAAGCTACAACCACAAAACTTGCAAGAGAGGTTGATGGATTTGATGACAAAGGGCCTTTGCCAAAAGCGAAGAGTAAGATCTTGAAATTTGCAAGCCAGGCAATGAGAAAACCACCAAGGCCTGAAAGATTGATGGTGTGAAAATAGAGAGGAAGATACGAGAAGAGGCAAACTATTGGGACCAAACATAAGAGTCTTGCAGTTCCTTTCGAAACCACCCGACCAACAGCATAGCAATAGCAGGTAGAGACAAAGACTGAGATCGAAATTTTCATAAAGTTAGTGATCTCATTCTCCATTTTGTCTCCGCGCTGTATCTTTGATCTGTCTTCGTCCTTCGCGATCTATATTTCTACACGTACGCTTCTTCTTTTGTGATAGATGCAAGGCATTGACATATTGTATTTTATATATATTAATTGCTCCGAAACGTGATTTGGAGGAGTGCTTTCATATGGTATAAAATAGGGAATTCCCATTCTCTCCTATGTGAAAGGAAACATGATTTGGTCATGTTAATAAATAATGGCATAATTGATCAGTGGGAGGAAAAACTAGGAAATAGCTAGTCTTATACCAAGCATATTTAACGTCCATGGATGTGCTAAAAGAAATAGTGAACATTGGATATATGATCTGAATCCATAGATACTAGGGTTATTGTTCAGAGAAGCAACCAGCTGGAATATGCTTCGTTTTCTGTAATTGAATAATTTGTCTTGTTAATTATTATTAGCGAATTAGAAAACCTGCAAGGCCTGAAATCTTTCTAATTAATAAGTTGCATTTTCCTTTTCCTTTTTAAAAAAGGCCATAATTTGTACAAGCAAGCATTGCTTACTTTGTTTTCAATAGATATATATTGAGGATTGAATAATTAAAATGAACGTGTCTAATAACAGTACTGTACAGCTCAAACTGGATTTGGTCCAAACAGTGGAGCATTTTAACGTGTCCACACTTTAGCACTTTACATGAGGAGCGCATATATTCCGGGTATTTCATGTGATAACCATGTGGATTGGGTACGTACGTAATTATTTTGCAAAATTTAACAATTCTTTTTTTGAAAAAAGTCATTACTTAATTGGTGTATTTTTGCTTTTCATTCTGTGTCGGGTAATCCGCTGGAAAAGGTAAAATGATACCACGTGATCAATTCGTGATATAATAAAGTTTACTTTGCTTGAGTTTTATAGTTCAACCAATATTAAATTTTTCTTTCCGTTTGAAAAAGTTTATATGAATTCTAATCTTTCTTTAATAAAAATAAAATTAAATTAACGATGTTAATTTAGCTTGTTGATGTCGTCTATAACTCTATTTTTTTTAGGATTGTGATTAATGGGTAGCGGCTGAATTTCTAATTGCCACAACCGCCCATTTAAACAGTCTTCAGTCAGTGATCTTGTTATAAGGATAAATACACTATAAGTATATTAATTTTTATCTTTTTTCAATCAAATATATGAAGTATATTAATTTTTAAAAAATTATTCATTGAAATTTTTTCATTAAGTGATGTTTTGTTTATTACCCTCATAAATTACGTTTTTGCATGCTCTCTTTTTTCAATGGAGTACATGGACTTAACATTTTTCATTTGCTTCTATACATCAATTTTTTTCAAAACCCCTCTTTTTCTTAGAGAAAAGTTTCTCTCCAAATTATTCTTCTATTTTAAAATTTTGATATATATATATATATAATTTTTTAGCTATAAAACTCGAAACCAAACTTACTTAGGCTTATGCATGAAAATTTTAAAAAAAATACTAATTCATTACTTGTACGTGAGCATTTGAGGAGAAAGTTCCCTTCAGAAAAAAGAAAATTTAAAAGAAAAAATACTAATTCATTACTTGTACGTGAGCATTTGAGGAGAAAGTTCCCTCCAAAAACAAAAAAAACTATAATTTGATATTCTAGAAGTAATGAACACACCATTAGTTAATAAAAAAATTGACACAAATATTTAACTTATAATTTTGAAAAAAATTAATATATTCAAAAGAAAAAATTAAAATCTATGTACTTTGTTGGAAAAAAGAGAAAAATTGTAATTTAATATTCTGAAAGTTAAAAACATATCATTAACTAATAAAGAAATTGATCAAAAGTACTTAATATATAATTTTAAAAATAATTAATGTATTTAAACAAAAAATTTAAATGTACTTTTAAAAAAATTAAAAGTTAGTATACTTATATTTTGCTAGCTTGCTGTGGCAATTATAATCTTTTTATTCAAACACGCAATTAAAACTCATTGATGTATGCACCATTTGAAGCCTCTCAAGTGTGACAAGAAAAAAGAACTTTTATTAATGGACAGTTGTCCACAAGCATGCATGTACATCAACCCAAAACATTCATATTTGATCATATATGTATGGATTGAATGAATGACTACGCAAATCCGTTCAAAAAGAAATGACTGTCAAAATTAAATTGTCCCATCGTACGATGGCGTATGAATCAAATTGATTCCTATGTACTTCACTGCGAACTCGAATAAAACAGCAAACTCCATACAGACTCTTTCAAAAGCCTGGCACTTGTGCATGGAGGGCAAGAACAGCTGAAAGCCAGTAAACAACACGAATCCCATGGTCAAAGGCCCTGATACCAGACGTGGCAATTGCCACCTACCACCAAACTTCTTCTTCAGAGCAATCTCAGTTGTTAGACATACTCCATGGAGGAGAAAGAAGCATGCATGTGAGCTCCCATATTACGGATCTCTTACACCCCATGTTGTAGGAGATGGGCATAACTCCCGAGACTAGAAAAGTACCCAAAACTGCTGGAACTAGAGCCCACTTTCTGCCCACAAAACGCGAATGCTACATTTTGGGTGGGCTCATAAACGGCAGGTCGGAGAATACTTGGAACCATGGGGTTCCTTCTTCTACCCCAAAAGCCTTGTAATGAGGTGGAAAGATATGGCTCATTGAACGATTGCTCTAGCTCTAGTCCTAACAACACCCAAGCAACGGTTGCCACAAATTAAGGCCAGTAGAGTTTCAAGTTCAATATTTATAAGGAGCAGTAGAGAAAGGAACTGTTTTTTTGATGGATATGATGTTGGAAATAATTTTGAAGTCTAGAATAATGTGTAAATATATTTTTCAAAACGACTTTTTAGTTTTCTTTAGATGCCTGTACGCATATCATTAATGATGTGGTTATCTTAAGACTAGTATAAATATATGTACGGTAAAGGTTGTAATCAAGTCCAATTCAAGAGACTTCCTTTCTTACAAGAGTCATATGATATCAGTAAATTTCCACCATGTTTCTCTATTCCTCCTCCCGAATTTTATTTCTAACTTGGTATCAAAGCCAGATGCAGTCTAATTAGGCGTTCATAGGGCATTCAAAAGAGTGTAGCATGTGTGTACAAAAAAGAGAGAGAAATTCCAAAAACCAAACAAGCAATAGACTCAAGAGTGAAAGCAGCCGACCCAAAGAGAGAGTGGATAGAGAATGACAGAAGAAATAAGGTGCAAGATGAAGCAGACCCGTAAGAGAAGTGGGACCTTGCATCAAGAGAGAAATAGAAAACGCCTTAAAAGGGTTGAGTGCAAGTTCTTGCACAAGTGATGGTGTGGTATAGAAAGACCACACTTGAAGAAAAGAAGATGGAGGAAAATGGCCAATGAGCCATGATGAAGAAGAAGGCAGCAGTCTAAATGAAGAGTGAGCCAAAACAGAATGGCCACTTGAAGAGCCAAATCTTGACAATGAGATTTTGACATAGAAATATGGCAGAAGCCACAAGATGAGAAAAATGGCTAACAATAACCATGTTCAAGCAATTATAATTGCTAAAGAAAAGAAAATTGCAGAGACGGCAATGAAATGTCATTAGCTATCCATGATGATAAAGAGTGGCTAATTCAAAGATCCAAAAACTTCACAAGATGAAGATGGTGGCAGCAATGTGGCTGTTAAATAAAAGAAAAAACAAAAAAGCAAAAAGACCAGATTTTGAAGATGCATGATGCAGATTACCAATACATTTCAAACAAATTCAAGTTAGAAGACCTTCAAAATTAAGTGTTGGAAATAATTTTAAAGTCTAGAATAAGGTGTAAATATATTTTTCGAAGAGACTTTTTAGTTCTTTTAGATACACGTACGCATATCATTAATGATATGGTTATCTAGAATAATCTTAAGATTAGTATAAATATGTGTATTGTAAATGTTGTAATTTAAGTCCAATTCAAGAGAATAACTCTCATACGAGAGTATGATGTAATAAATTTTCACCATGCATGCTTCCTCTGTTCTCCTCCCCTTATATTTTCTAACATATACATATATGATTGCTATACTCGTGGACATGTATCAACATAGCCAAAAGCAGACCCTTAATGGCATAATTTAGAAATGACTTTTTACTTTCTAAATATTTCTTTAAAATTTTGGAAGGAAGCGTTTTCTTGGTTTTGGGCATCTAGATCTGATTGTGGAGATGGATTTTGTTGACTCTTGCTAGGAAGACAAGCTACAGCCACAAAACGTGCAAGAGGGATTGATGGATCTGAAGACAAGGGGCCTTTGCCGAAAACAAAAAGTAAAAGCTTGAAATTTGCAAGCCAAGCGATGAAAAGAGCTATAGTACCTCCAAGATTGACGGTGGAAAGAAAGAGAGGAAGACACAGAAAGAGGCAAACGATTGGAAGCAAACAAAAGTCTTTGAATTCCCTTTGAAATTACCCGACCAACAACAAAGAAATAGCATATAGAAATTAAGAACGTGATCCATGTCTTGATGAGGTTGCTGATCTCATTCTTCATTTTGTCTCTGATATCTCTCTTTGATTTCTGCTTAATTTTCTTGCTTATCTACATAAGCTGAAATGAGAGTGGTAGATTCAAAAGTGTCTTCATTGTCTAGTTTTCACAGCTATAAAATATGGATGAATATAACAGTTGTCAAGTCTTGTGTATTTTTTTAGTTAGCCAAGAAATACTGGTATAAAAATTAGGAGTCCAGTGAAAGTGTGGCAGAAATTTACTACAACCAGCAAGAGATCGATACGATATTACTATGATCTGTATGACAATACTTACTAAATCTTGTTTAACGAATCACGTAGCTGTAGTATCTTCCACTCAAAAATATTTTAATGATTAACTCGTCCCTGAAATTATGCTACAGCACAATGTAGATTATTTATGAAAATAAAAAATCAAATTTATATATATATATATATATATAACCAAAGATTGTCAGTAGAGTAGTAAAAGAATGTATCTTTTAACTCATTGGATCATGATGACTAAGGACTTACCTCCAGTTTTTATCCACTAAACTGGATTTTTTTAGGTCAAAACCCTAGGAATTAGAATGGTGTTCTCAGAGAAAATTTGATAAGGACGGTTAGGGTTATTATTTTATCAATTTCAATGAAATCGATATGTCACTTTCTTTTTACACCAAAAGAGAGTATTTAATTTAGCACATATATAGCTATGTAATCCTAGTGGGCGTAATTTTCCTAATACTATTAACTCGATCATAATGTATATATAGGAAAGCCCATTAGAAATGTTTTCTATTAGGACAATAATTCCTACATCATTTTTAAAAAATTATTATTTTTTTTTTGTGCAGTACTAAACATTAAACATCTACTATTGGTGAGTTTAAAAATCATAAAATCAACCCAATATTAGACACCATCTGACAGTTACCTAGTCCTGTGAACAGTGGACAATCTTGGTTGACCAAAAAATGATCTAAAAATATCCCACTAACTATATTTTTGAAGTTTTTTAAAAAAAATTGCGATTCAATTCGATGCATTTACACAAAAATTTATTTAACCCATATATCAGTTTTAAACCCAAAAGTTAAATAAACCTATAACAATTGATTTTAAAAATAATTATAAATTAAACAATAAAAAATTAATAATTGTCAAAAAAATTTAAAAAATTTTCTACCTATCCACTGATTTCTAAAATTGAAACTTGAACCATTTAAATTCAAATCAATCATTTGACTTTCACTAATATAATTGATATGTTACTAATAAATAACCTGACAAGAGGCGAATATGTGTTTTTTTTTTTTATATCACACAATGAATTAACAACCTGCCAAATGTAAGCCAATCTATATGTATCCATGCATGATTTTTAAATCCATACAAAATCTTAGAACAATCTATGAGCCACATATTAAATTCTAATAGCGATGGACGCTATTCTCTATGAATGTGACTAATTGAGCATACTCTGCAGATGCCCTTTCAAAAACCTTGCTACTGTACAAAGACGGTAAAAACAGCCAATACCCCGTCAGCATCACGAACCCAATAGTGAGTAGCCCAGAAATCGGCGTCGGCAACTTCCACCTGCCACTAAAATGCTTCTTCAAAACATTCTCAACTGTCAGACACAGTCCATGGAGGAGAAAGAAGCAAGTCAATTCCATTGTGGGCTTGTCACGCCCTAGGTAAAAGAACATGAGCTCATGCATGATACCTGAGACAAAAAATGTTCCCACGACCGCTAGAATTTGAGCCCATTTTCTGCCCACAAGACCTGAGGCTATGTTGCGGGTAGGCTCATAAACGGCAGGCCTTAGGATACTTGAAACCATGATGTTCCATCTTCTACCCCAAAAGTCTTGTAATGATGTGGATAGGTAGGGCTCATTGAACTGTGGCTCTAGCTCTGATCCTAGCAACACTTTAGCCGTGGCTGCTGCTATGGCTAGTAATATTTCAAGTTGGATATATAGGCAGATGACATAAAGCAAGGAAACGACCTTTGGATGGATATAGTCACTATAATCATGAACATTCACCAATATAGCCAAAACCAAAGCCTTTACCCCATAATTTAGCGATGAATTTTTTCTATATTCAAGCTTTTGGCCATGTATATGTGATTTTGGAGATGGGTTAACTTGGTGTTGTATCTTGATGGGTAGACAAGCTACAGCCACAAAACGAGCGAGGGAGATCGATGGATTATCTGAAGACAAAGGGCCTTTACCGAAAGCAAATAGTACAAGCTTGAAATTTGCAAGCCAGGCAATGAAAAAAGCTGTAGGACCTCTGAAATGAATGACGAATAGATGAAGAGGAAGGTAAAGAAAGAGGCAAACGATTGGGAGCAAAAAGAGAAGTCTTCTAGTTCCTTTCGGAACTACCTTACCAATAGCATAGCAATAACATACAGAGGCAAAGACTAAGAACCAGACCTTTATCAAGTTGAAAATTTCGTTCATTGTTTTGCCTCTGATGATATCTATGATCTCTCTCTTTGTGCTTGATGATCATTTACAAATTAATACACCTTTTTTGTGTATATTTGAGTATCAATAAAATATTTGATGATATAATTCTGGTGTATTAATTAATTTGACGCAAATACCTGGAAGATTTTGAACGCGAAGAAGAAGAAGAATTCAATATTAAAAAAAAACGAAGACTTTGAAGAAGAAAGGTTCAACGTACTTTTAAAATAGGATGAGGGCCAAGTTTCGTTGGTCTACGAAATTTTGCAAGAGTTTTATATGTATTCAAAAGTACTAAAGGAATTATATATATATATGACGTAGAAAAGGTTGAAATCCAAGTTTTTTTAGGGAATGAGACACGGGCAATTATTGAATTATAAGCTTGTGTATGAGGATGTATATTAAAGAAATTTCCTGGTCAACTCTTATTGATGAATGTGTGGGTAGGCATTTTCTTGAGGTTTATGCAATTAATCTTGGCCTTGTTTACCGTATATAAGATTTAATCTCTTACAGCACATTTTCTTAATAGGACTATAAAGCTACATGAGAAATATATATACTCATAATTAAATAGTGCGTTCAAATTAGGGCACTTGACAACTGTGAATCCATTCTTTGTGAGATGGATCGATGCTTTGCGGACAAAAAGTTTTTTTAAAAAAAAAAATCTTTTGCCGAAAGGCCTATTGACAACTGTAAATTTAGGCTTTTTGAAATAGATTGTACTTATGGAAGCCAAAACAAGCATCTTCGATTACGTAAATGCCAGTACGCTGTGTGGGAAACGGATCTTGAAGTTTTTTTATTAGCAGCTCCTTTGGACATAATCAATGCTTCCATCGTTGACATTCTCGAAAGGAGAGAGCCAATAAATCATGACCATGCACTCTAATATAAATGGTTTCTTGGCTACGATGGCATCCTACTGAGGTTAACAAAAGGGCATACAGATTCGTACTATTTGGGGTTTTATTATATCATAAACTATAAAGTTTTTCCTATGTCCAATTTTTTTTTTTTTTTATGGTGATGGGTAATTTTAAGACATTTGTGTATCAACTAGATCCATCAAATACATTTACTGAAATTTATTAAATTTGTTTGAATTTAACAAGTCAAGAAAGAGAATTTTCAACTTTTTAAGTATCATTTAATTATTAAAAATAAAAAGTTCAGAATAAAAATGCAAAAATCTAAATAAAAATTAGAAAATTAGAATGATATTTTTATTCTCATACTGTTTTTGAAATAATAAAATAAATAAAATTTTTAATATCTAATTTTCAAAACGAATAAGAATAATAATTAAAAAATAATTTTATCAATTATTATAATAGTAAAAATGATAAAGTTAATTACAACGATAATGATGGCAAAAAAAAAAAAAAAGGAGAAAGATGTGGTAGTATATATATATATATATATATAATCTCCACCATTGGAGGTGGGAGTCTAAAAAGAGTGGTGAAAAAATAATAATAATAATTTTTATTATTATTTTTTTGTATTACCATTGTCAATGGAGATGATGGTCGAAGCAATTAATACACAAAACATAAAAATAAAATATCAATATTTTAAAAAGAGAAAAAGAATCAAATTCTCATTCTTTTTTTTTTTTTTTTTTTTGCCACATCTTATGGAAATGAAATTATGTTTAGTTTTTACTCTCATTTTTACTTCATTTTTTTCAATCAAACATTTATGAAGTAAGAATAAAACTTATATTTCCTTCTCTCTTGTTCAATTTTTTTTTTTTTTATCAAACAACACCTTAAAGATTTTTATGTTCAAAAAGATATATATGTTCTTTTTCTTACGTTTTTTTATCAAACATTTATTTTTTTTATTTTTTTTTACCAAATAAAGAAATTTCATTGACTCGAAAATGAACAAGGCTTCTACATCTAGATTTAAAGCCAACCAATACATAAGATGATTCTCTGAATAGGAAATAAAACAAACTTACACGCCGCATTAAGAGTGTCTAAAAACTATACAATAAAGATTTTACTTGGAAACTAAATATCTAGAATTAAGATTTAAACTATTAACTAAAAAACTAAAGTAAATCTTCGTTCACTATAGATTCATTATTTGAAACACTATACATACACTCACATTTCACTCGTTCACCCTCTTACATTTCACTATGCATTTCACTATTCATAATTTTTTTTTATATTTTGGTCTCTAATATTTTTGAAAGCATAATTCGATCTACATGTTCATTTTCTCATCTATTCGGTCCTTGGGTGGAGAGAGAACGCCGAGAGGAAGAGAGAGAGATCGTCGGCCAAGCTTATTTAGGCCACTCGGACCGACAAAAATCTACTAGATTTTTTTAACTTTGAGAGATGAGTTTGTCCATAGTGGCTTCAAGCCATTAAACAATTAGAGGAACTAGATCGAAGCGAAAAAATAAAAAACAAATTCGATTTGATTTTGTATTTTTCTTTATTTTTGTGTGTATTAAAATGATTTTTTAGGTTTTAGATGTATTTATTGGCTTTATTATTATCATTTAGAGGTGTTTAGAGAAAACAATGATGCCAAAATTCAATTTCTAAGAGTCTAAAAGTTGACTCTCGATTTTTCAACGAATCTTCCGAGCAACCTTGAGTTCATCGAAAGTTGCGGGTTTTTTTTCCGATTGAGCAACAAGCAAGGCCTAGCGCGTGGGCTCGCAATGGCGAGCCCAAGCATGTTGGCCTACCCGCACAAGCCAACCACGCATGGACTCCTTTTTTTTTCCCGCATATGTGCAACTCTGGCTGCACAAGCCAACCAAGCACTCGTCCCGGTTGGCTTGCAACCATGTGCTTCTCTCTCTCTCTCTCTCTCTCTCTCTCTCTCTCTCTCTCTCTCTCTCTCTCTCTCTATATACATATATATATATATATATATATATATATATATATATATATATATATACATATATTATTATTGTTTAAATTTTATTTTTTTAATTATTTATTTCTTATTAAAATTCACATCAAATTAATTTTTTTATGATTTTATTTTTAAATAAATTTATTTTTTAATATATGAATTTTGAATTAAAATTTTAGAACATTAGTGTTTTATTTTTTAAAATATATTATTATAATTTACACAATAAATTATATGTGTGTGTGTCTTTTTTTCTTTATATATATATATATATATATATGGAATTCGGTGTGAAAAACATAAAAAAATAAATCGTTATAATTTTTAAATGACGAGAATATATATAATATTTTTTTAAATTTGAATTTGAACATATATATCTGATTATATTATTTTTATGTTTAAAAATTATTTTTTAAATTATTTATTTCTTATTAAAATTTTCATCATGTTTATTTTTTATATGACTTTATTTGTTAATAAATTTAATTTTTTAATATATGAATTTTGGAATAAAATTTTAAAACATCGATATTTTATTTTTTAAAAATATATTATTATAATTTATACAATAAATTCTTCCTTTTTTTAATGAGTTTTCTATTTTTTTAAAATATATTGTTATAATTTATAAATTCTAAGAGAGATAGAAACGGAAACGAGAGGGAGCTAAAAGTATATTTTAGATAGTTTGACTCGTTTTTTTTAAAAAATAAATTAATAATCGGTTAAAAGAATTTACAAGTTTTATTTGCTTTTTTTCTATATATATTCATTTATTCAGAATTTATCGAAACTATTTTTATTATAGTTTTTATTTTGATCTATTGACTTCAATATGTTTCATACGAGTTTATGTGTTATATGTATATATATATATATATATATATATATATATATATATATATATATATATATATAATACCAATTTATTTATTTATTTTTAAATATTTTAAGATTTTTTTTAATAAAAATAAGTTAGATAATATTTTGAAAGAGCCACTTAATTATTTAAATAAAAATTTTCATGTTAATATTATTAAATATTTTGTTAATAAATATATATAAATCAAACAATTTCGCTCATTATATAGATTCTATTTACATCAATCACAAGAAATAAAACTTACGCTCATGCTACATCATATGAATAATAAATTTTACGTATGCAATCGTTGTTTGATAGCACCGTAACGCGAGTATCTTATACTTTTTTTTTCAATTTCAGACTTTAATTGTATTGTGATTTACTCGCATTTTATTTTAGTTTTTTTTCATAATTATTTTTATTACTTCAAATTTTCTATTTTAATTTGTCATTTTTCTTTTAAATTCTCATCCAATTACTTTAAAATTATATGGTCCTCAAATTTTCTATAAATTTTTTTTAAAAAAAATTAAACTTTAACTATATTATGATTTAGCCCATTTGTTTTAATAATTTTTTATTAGTATTGTTATTTAAAATCTATAACTTTAATTTATCAGTTTTTTTCAAATTTTCATCCAATTAATTTAAAATTATATTTAATAACGAGTTTTCGTTTATCTTAATCCAATTAATTTAAAATTATATGGTCCTCAAATTTTTTATACAATATATATTTTTTGAATTTCAAACTTTAATTGTATTGTAATTTGATCCCATTTTGTTTTAGTGTTTTTTGTTGATTATTCTTATTATTTAAAATTTACTACTTTAATTTGTCATTTTTTAAAATTCTCATCCATTTAATTTCAAATTACATTAAAAAATTTAAAATATTTTTTCACTTTTGATTTCATATATTTTTATACATTCACACCATAAAACATACTATCAAACTGAAATAATTGTATATATTTTATCCAAGCCGCAATATAGTGCAAGCAAAAAAATCTAGTAAAAACTATTTTACAAGATAGTTGATGCATTGTTTTTAATAGTCCACAATAGCTTTACTACCTTAATCTCTCATTTGATATTCATTTTTTTGAATAACATATCTAAGACTAATGTATTAGCAATTTGAGTAAAACTTCTATTTCGGGACAAAGACTTATGAAAGGACGAAAGAGCATGAGAAATAAGAAAAAACATTAATCAAACAACAACCTTAAACTTAAAAAAATACGAGATAAACAAAACAAACATCACGGAAAAATACTAGATCTAGTGGTAAGAATAATTTATCTAAGAATCTTATGAACAAAAAAAGACGAAACAAAGAAAAAAGGGAAGGAAAAAAATAATGTCAATGCATGGCGGCAACTAAAGAAAAACTCAAAAAACTCAAAAGAGAAAAAGGGAGCTTAACAACTATTCCTTTTACTACATCACTAACCTAATATACTAATTAAGAACAAGTTAGGTTGGATGTATTCTAACCTAGAAATTTTAAAATACTTTAAGAGTAATTATTATAAGTATACAATAGTTACTTTATAAATTCATTTTTAAAGAAAGAGAGAGAGATAGACAAAAAAAAAAAAAAAAAAAAAAAAGAGAAAATTATATTCGAATCTATTAAAAGTCATAAAAAAATTTTCTGCTTAAGCTCTTTTTTTTAATTAAAAATTTTTCTTTCTCCTATTTCTTTCTTCTTTTTGTGTCTTTCTCTCTTATATATGGAGTAAGTATCTATTGTTATTCATAAAATAATTTAAAATTTTTCATTGTAATGTAAGAAAAATATAATGTAATGGAATGAAATGGTCCATACATTTCTTTATTTTGTTGCAAAATTTTAGTAATGTAATAGAGGAATTTGCAAAGTTTCATTTTAATCTTTATTTTATTATTATTATTATTATTGAAAGAAAAATATATTTTACGGCTTGTAAATTTTTGAAAGGATATTTAGTCCTTATATTTTATTTTTATTTACAAAATGGTCCTTATTTAAATATTGGTAGTATTAATAATTATTCACAAAATATAATGTAATGAAATGAAATGCTCCATTACATTTCTTTATTTTGTTGCAAAACTCTTAGTAACGTAATAGAGGATTCTCAAAGTTTCATTTTAATCTTTATATTTTTTGAAATAAAAATATATTTTAGGCCTTATAAATTTTTTAAAAAATTATTTAGTCCTTATATTTTATTTTTATTTTACAAAATTTACAATTCAATTCTTATTTGCAATCAAATTCTTATAAGATTATTGTTTATCGTTTTATGGTTCATTACATAATTTTATTTATTTATTTATCTTTTTTTTTTTCTGTAATGCTTATAATGAATCATTGTAATTATAATGGTCCATTATGTTATAGTTCATTACATCTAATCAAATATGCCATAATAGTTTAGCTTGATAAAACTAGATTAGTAGTTTAACCTAAAATTAGCAAAATTCCCGCAAGTTAGAGCAGGAATGGTCACCCCATCTTTTTATTTAAATGTTTTGCAATCGCTCATTTATTAAAAAAGAAATAACACAACCAAATTGACAAGTAATTACTAAATATCTTTATTGAGATTCCGTTTAAACTGCGACATCAATTTTGCTGAATTCAATAATTTTCATATCGTAAACCTGCAATTTATTAGGCATAGGTCATGTGGTAGACCAATAACAAATTTCTTATCTATTTATTCTTAAAAATAGATAAGAAATAATATTTACTTTGTTATTCTTGCATTGTCTTTGTAACACTTTGTTAGGATAAAAAAAAAACTTTGTACAATATATATATTATAAAATCACAAACTTAACACATTTTAATTATTTTAATACTTTCTTTTAAAAATTAATAAAAAATACATGGATTAAGTTTTCGGTAATCATATTTACACAAGAGGTGCTTTCTATCTAAAATTTCGAGTTCATGCGACATGGCATGATTGATACAATGACAACATGATATAAATTCTATGTAAGATTCCACGTGAATTTTTCCTCAATTCTTCTTTTTACTGTTGCAAAATCCTAGGAGAGAGAAACATCTTCCTCTTAACAAAATCTCATCTCTTTTCAAATTTCAAAATCCTTCAAATCCTATATTTCAATTTCAAATTCTTAGCAAACCCATTTCAGTTTTTCTATTTTTGAAGTTAAAGTTCAATTCTTTCTTATCATCATTACATGTTCCTTTGAATTTTTATACACTTGAATTCTCATAAAATCTCTATCGAACCTCATAATCTAATAAGAAAATCCAAATCAAAATCACATCTAGATTTTTTTTTTGTCGCTTTAAATACAATCTTATTGTAAGAGATTTTTTCATATAAAGGCTTTTCAGCTTCTTTCACGAGTCTTGTCACTTGTCTCTTCATCTGTGAGTTCTCATTGTACCTTGCTCGATAATGATAATTGTAGAGAAATATGAGCCTTCTCATTCATCTCTTCAATTTCAACGAAGTCATGTTATCCGGATATATACCGTCAATTGTCTTAATAAAACCTTCACGCTGCAACAAAGCTTTCATCTCTCTATAGGCTAAAATTATTTTGACCATCAAAAAGCATAACATCAAATTTTAGAACTGCCATTACGAATAGAAAATCCAAATACGTGTAACTCCGTGCTCGGATATCGGTTTGTTACGACAAATAACGAAAACAAGCCAAGTAATGATAGAAAATTATCAATATACGGAATTTACATGGTTCGACAAATTGACTACTCCATGAATGAGAGAAAAGTTTTATTAATTTAATAACATGAGACTATAAGAACTCTTGAAGCTTAATACAAAGTCGTTATCTTTCACTTTGTTTTCTAAACAGAGACATAAGAAGATTTAAATACCTTATACTTTAAAATATATATATATATCATAAAATTCAAACACCACACCAACAATTACATTATAGAACTTAGGTTATTTCAAACCATGTTCTATAGCATTCTCCTTCCCAGCTGTATTGGTCTATTTAATTCGCTAATATAGCTTTCGCTGATGGAATGGCGCTCAAAATAGAGCGTGAGAGGAGTTCTTCCCGAAAGCTCTTAGTGCCGCATATTCTTCGAACGCCCTCACATCTGCCCCACACTGAAGCGGCTTAGGAAAGAACAGCCAACAGCTAGTGACCGTGACGAATCCTATGGTGAAGAACCCTGAGATCACCCTCGGTAATTGCCACCTGCCCTTTAATGCCTTCTTTATTGCAATTTCAGCTGTTACACAAAATCCGTGCAGAAGGAAGAACCATGTGACCTCCCACGTCGGTTTTGCACGAAGCAAGTAATAAAACATGACCTCGTGCATAACGGCCGATACAAAGAACGTGGCCAGAACAGCGGGGATTGGGGACCACCTCCGACCGACGAAGTGTGTGCTAATGTTACGGGTGGTTTCGTATACGGTCGGGCGTAGGATACTGCTAACCATGAGGTTCCATCGTTTGCCCCAAAAGTCTTGTAGTGATGTAGAGAGGTATGGCTCATTGAATTGTGGCTCGAGCTCTAGTCCTAGAATGCTTCGTGCCAAGGCTGCCACTATGGCTAGGACAACGTCAAGAAAGATGTATAAATGGAGACATAAAAGACACAAGATGATTTTTGGATGGATGTATTCGTTATAATCATGGGCAACTACCAAAAATGCCCAAAGCAGACCTTTTGTTGCATAGTTCAGCAGAGATTTGTGGGTTTCTGTAGGTATTTTAGGAGTTTGGTTTTCTTTGTTTTTTAATTTTGGAGGTGGGTTTTCTTGGATCTTGATGGGCAAACAAGCAACAGATACAAAAATTGAGAGAGAGCTTGATGAATGTTGTGAAGATAAAGGGCCTTTGCCAAAAGCAAAGAGTAAGAGCTTGAAATTTCCAAGCCAAGCAATGTAAAATGCTGTATTGCCACCAAGAAATATGGTGGAGAGATTAAGAGGAAAGTAGAAAAAGAGGCACACAAATGGGATAAGGAATAGCAGCCTTGTTTTGCCTTTTGGTATTGTCTTACCAATGGCATAGCAGCAACATAAACAAAAAAAGATCGAGAACCATACCTTCAGGAAGTTGCTAATTTCACCTTCCATTCCTTTATGTCCCTTCAAGGTGTATTTTTGTTTTCGCGATGCTCAATTACAAACTCTATGAACAGAGCTAGCTCAAATTGTATGAGTCTTCTTCTTCTTCTTAAAAAAAAAATTAATTAATTAATTGCACTAGTCGTGATTAAAGTATATAAATCACAGTTGTCAAGAGTAAAATCGGAAGGCTGTGACTGGCGAACCAAGTAATGCTCATTAGCCATCAATTAAAAAAGACCACAAGATCATATCTTGTCGACGATCAATATGGAAACAATTGAAATCCACATGCTATATATTTTGAAAAGACAAGGTATTGCATAGACTTGGAAGCTGTTAATCGGGCCTGTCTAACAACTACCACCCGAACGCACAGTTGCAGGAGAGAAAAAATACTCCCTGAGTATAATAATCAATATTTAGGATTTAGATTTTTGTTGGAGCCTTGGATGTTTAGTTTGCCTTGTAAATAGGTGTTGCTTTCATGTGTTTTTTTTTTTTTTAATAGAAATTAGAATGTTCAAGTAAGTTCTTGCTTTTTTTTTTTTTTTTTTAACAAATTAACATGTTTTAAGGTGGAATGCGATCTGTATATTTCAAACTCAATTATGGAATAACTTTATTTTTGGAACGACAAAATTACCTCTATTAAAAAAAAAAAAAAAAACAAGAATTAGACTCCCAATTCCCATGCAAGAAAGAAATAATAGTATCTAATATTTAATTTATCCTGCAAATGAATTTGTAAGCAGGAGTGATGAGTTTAGGCAAGGACAGGGAGATGTTGAGCTTTATCAGCATATTCCTCGGGAAAGCAACTTTTGTGTGGATTAATGGAACTTTTATTGTCGTCTTAATAATCAATCCGTTTCAAAGAAATTGTTTATCTTTATATCAGATTAAACTAACTTTATTTAGCGAACTATCTTAAAATACTTAAAATCATATAATCTGTATTTTTTTTTTAGATTTTTTTTCATCTCAATCAAGGACTTTTAGATTAAATTTTTTTATACACAGTTAGAAAAATTGATAAGAAAAACAAATTTAATATTTCAAATATTTTCCAAAAAAATAAGAAGCAATTGAAAATTTAAGAATAGATAAATTTTTTTGAATATTATATAATAACAGATGAGTGTATTCATTCAAAATATTTTTAAAAAAATATTAGTATGATATAATAATTAATAACTTTTACATTTATATAAAAAAATAAAATAGATAATTTTTCTAATACCAATATAGTATTTTTTAAAAAAAGAAAAAAGAATAAAAAACTCTAGCTTTTAGTGGTGTCAAGAGCCTTCACGGTAACTCTGGCTTTTAATTGTTGACCTCGCCTACGATTAAATATAGTAGCACCAATTTAAAGCAATTAGATTTAGGAACTAATTAAACTATAACTAACTCATTAAAGAATGGAAACACGCGGAAAATTATAGAAAAAATAATGTCAATTTGAAGAAAAAATTGACAAAAATATTGGTGCATATTAACCAAAAAAGAAGAAGGTACTATTGAGAACTTTTTAAAATATTTGGAATCAAAAAGATAAAATTTATAGGTTTGGGACTCAATTGATGATGAACAAATAGATTTTGAACTAAATTTAGGTTTAAAATTTCAAGAGAATACACAACCAGTCCCACAAAAATTGTTTTGAATATTTTCATCTAGTTCATAAACTAGTTTTTTTCTACCTACGCTATGCAACGGGTCTAACGAACGCAGAAAATTAATTTTAAAAAATTATTTTAATTTAATATCTAGTGTTATATTGTACGTCTACCAAAATATATTAAATCAAAACTAAATAAAAAATTCATTAATTTTTATAATTTTTTTTTAACCAAAATTTTATTTCACTAATTATTTGTTATACTTTCATAATTTTTTATTAAAAAATATTATTTATTTATCTCTATCTACCTTTTTAGCTAAAAACTTATTTTGTAAATTGTTTTTTCTAAACATCTTTTTGCCATAAAAGTTTTAATTAAAAAAATCGAGAGGAAAAAAACAAGGACCAAAGTGATCAAAATGAAACACAAAAGACGAGACCAAAATAAAACAAAAAAAAATATGGATTAAAAAAAATATTTAAAAAAAGAAAGACCAAAGTGTAATGTCACAAAAAAATTTATAACAAATGTCTTTAAAAATTTTGAAATTATAAAAAACCATTACATAGTGAAAGGAATAGTGAATATAAGTCTATTTGAATAATGCATATGAGCCTAGATGAATAATGTTTAGAATAGTGCTAATGAATAGTAAAATAATGTTTTTTTTTGTAGGACAAAGCACATAAAATTATTTTTAAGAAATTATTTCAGTTGGATGTCATGTATTATATTGTGTGTCTACCAAAATATATCAATTTAAAACCGAATAAAACTCATTCAATTTTATAATTTTTTAATCAAAATTTTGTATTTAACTAATTATTCTTTATATTTTTATAAATTTTTTTATTAAAAAATATTATTTATTTATCTCTACCCATATTTTTAGCTAAAAGCTTACTTTTTAAATTATTTTTTGTAAAAATCTTTTTCCCTTAAAATTTTTAATTAAAAAAATTAGAGGGAAAAAAAAAGGCAAGAACCAAAGTGACTAAAATGAAGCAAAAAAGAGAGACCAAAATAAAACAAAACAATTTGTTAATCGAAAAAAATAATGTTTAAAAAAAAAGAGATCAAATTGTAATATCACGAAAACTTTTATAATAAATATTTTTAAAAAGTTTAAAAACTATTTAAAAAAACCACTATACGAGTAAGAAGAATAGTATATGAATCTCAATGAATAGTATTTGAAATTGTGTCAATGAGAACTAAAGTCATCAAAACGAAACAAAAAAAAGGACCAAAATAAAACAAAAGAATTTGTGGACTGAACAAAATAATGTTAAAAAAAAAAAAAACAAAGTGTGATGTCAAGAAAATTTTTATAATAAATTTTTTTAAAAAAAATACATAATAAAAGAAATAGTATATGAATATGGATGAATAGTGTTTGGAACTGTGTCAATGATTAGTAAATTACCGTTCTCCGATAGAATTTCTATTAGTAGTTACTTATATTCTCATATAAATTTTGCACTGAAAACTTATACTTCTCTTATCTATGTGAAAACGGTGGATTATATAGATCGAGGTTTAGGGTTTACAGACTAAAAAAGTGGTGTAGGTCCGTACTCAATCAATAATAAAGTAGAAATGTTATTAATGTCATTAATTAATTAATGATGTTATATATGTCCCGGAAGATTTTACTACATTCATCCAAACCCATGATGTTCACTTGCATGTGCTTCAATTCCTGAAAAAAATAAAAGAACAGAAAATAAAATGTGTTCACGTACGGGGAAAGAAGCATTAAAGCAGGCCAGACTTGGATTGCTTTGTAGTAAAATAAAGGTTGACTTGATCGAGTAACTGACTTAATTTTAGCTGTTTATATGGCAGTATTTATTATTATTATTATTTTTTCCCCACAATATTCCAGTCCTCTTCTGCGTCCTACCAGATGGTCAAAAAATTTGAAAGTAGAAAAATATATAATGGAACCTTTGAAAATGGAGTCTTCGCGACTTTCGCTCTGCCAATGGATATAAGTCTGTCAAGGGACAACTATTTCGACGAATCATCTTTAGGTCTTTTAGATCCAAAACCCTCCTCTTTAAATCTTCACCAATAACACAACTCTTTGTATCAAAGAATAGCCAGGTATACGCAAAAATGGAGGGTGAGATTCTTAACTTCATTAAGGTATGGATTTCAGTCCTCATTTCTCTGTGCTTTTGTTATTCCATTAGAAACGTAGTCCCTAAAGGGACCAAAAGACTCCTTTTTGTACTCCCAGTAGTTTGCCTCTTTCTCTACCTCCCTCTTAATATCTCCTCTGTGCATCTTGGTGGTAGCACAGCATTTTTCATCGCTTGGTTGGCCAACTTCAAGGTCCTACTCTTTGCTTTCGGTAAAGGTCCTCTGTCTTCAGATCCATCAATCTCACTTCCACTTTTTGTAGCTCTTGCTTGCTTACCAATCAAGATCCAACAAAAGGGTAAAAATAAAGAAAACCCACCTTCAAAACCTCACCTAGATGGCCAAACCAAAGAGACCCCAACTCCTAGCAAAGGTAAAGCAGGCCTTCGAAATTATGCAATAAAAGGTGTACTTTTGGCCATGTTGATACGCGCATATGACTATAGCGACCATATTCATCCAAACGTTATCTTGATTATGTACTCTTTCCATGTCTACTTTATGCTAGAAATCATTCTAGCCGTGGGTGCAGCCCTGGCTCGAAATTTGCTAGGCCTAGAACTTGAACCTCAATTCAATGAGCCATACTTCGCTACATCTCTCCAAGACTTCTGGGGCAGCCGATGGAACCTAACGGTCACCAGTATCCTACGCCCCACCGTATACGAACCCACCCGTAACATCGGGTCCCATCTTATTGGTCGGAAATGGGCCCCACTCCCAGCTGTTTTCGCAACATTCGTGGTGTCGGCTATAATGCACGAGATCATTTTCTACTATTTGGGGCGCGTGAAGCCCACTTGGGAGGTCACGTGGTTCTTCCTCCTACATGGATTTTGTTTAACGGTCGAAATTGCTCTAAAGAAGGTCTTGAATGGCAGGTGGCAGTTGCCAAAGATGATCTCGACCATGTTGACTGTTGGATTTATAATGAGTACGGGCTTTTGGCTGTTCTTCCCCAAGTTTGTGGAGTATAAGGTTGACGTTAGAGCGTTTGAAGAGTACGCGGAAATAGGCGCGTACGTAAGGAACGTGAGTCAAAGCATAGTGCGTGTTTTGCCCAGTCATTAATTAATGTTACCAAAAATATTACTGTACTGGTCGTAGTAATTTTTTTCTTTTTCTTTTTTGAGAATGATTACAGTGGTCATAATAGAGGCTTTTGATAGGCGTTGTCTTTTGTTTACCACTGAAAACATGATTCCCAAGATGTACAACGTTTTGGAATTAATTAAATACATATTCCTAATAATTTTATTTTTATGTTCCGATGATATTTTTATTTTTTATAAATAACTTAGTAATAAGTTTATCGAGTCATCACAACGGACAAAAAGCTACCAAAATATGCAATTGATTTCATCATGTATATTTTGAGAAAACTTGATACTACTATTCGAAGAAGTGAACGATAATATTTCCAACATCATATGATCGTCATACACTCTCTTCTCTCTTTGAATTTTTATAATCTTTTCAAATCGCTAAACATTAATGTTTTTTTAGTTTAGCGATCGGTTCTTATCTTCATCACTGACTTTTTCTTGATCTTATTATTTAATCTTTTGTGTACTTTTCTTGACTATACAATGTGTTTAATATTGTGTGTACTTTTTTTAAGAATTAATGCATTATAAGGAAACCAGAAGTAAAACTATTGATTAATTATTGCAATATGTTGTTGAAATCTCTTTTAAATAGTTGTAATATTTTCGAAATGTATACATGTAGTTGTCAACATTCCAGCCGTATACATATAAAAAATATTAATTCCATTAATAATATAAATCAAATAAATACATCATTATTTTTATGACATAGTGATGCTAACATTAATAAGGACATTGCAACTTGTTATATTGAAAAGATTAGACAAAATTATTTTATAATAATGATAAAAAATAAATTTTCAACTTGTAAATAGTTTTTTCATAGACTTTAAGAGTTTTTTCATAGACTTTAAGAAAAACTCACTGAAATTTTATGATAAGAACTGTCCAAGATATAATTTTTTTTTTTTTATCATGCATATAGTAAATTATTAAGAGAACAACCATATTACCAAACTACATTGATAGAAAATTTCAAACATTAAAAATTGTCAAAGAATGTTAATCTCTTCTAACCACTGAAAAAACACCCATCACGACGACCTAGTAAAAGAACACCAAAAGCTTTATTATTATAAGAATAAAATATCTTAACAGAATAGAAATTTTGTGCACAGAGATGAAGGGCTGCCAACAGTGAGAAAATCATTGTGACAACTAGAATTTTATTATTATATTTTTTTCTAAAAGAAAATCAAGAGAAAGGAGATAGAGAGTTTAGAGAAATTCAGAGCTATTAGTGGACATACGTAAATGGCCTTACTTTTTATTCTTTTGCCTATTACAAAGGATGGATGCATAATTAAGGTCTCAAAAGGCTAACATCTGCGGAATCATTAGATAGAATATTGATAATACCTAACAAATAATCATTTTAAACTTAAAAAAGAGTATCATTCGATGAGTCAATACGAACGAGGTTATCAACATCTCTGTTGCAATATTACTAAATTAAACATTTTTTGAAAAAAATAAAATAGCGAGAAATTATTTGGTACATTAGCAGTTGTATTCTATTTTTTTTTCAAAAACATAAGATCTATAATGATTTTTATATATTTATAAAAAAAGAAAGCATAGTTTATGATATATTGAATTATTCATCCGAACTAAAAAAAAAACATGGTTAATTTATTTTATTAAAGTTTTGTGTCAAACCCTCAAACTCTTAACACATTTTCTAGAAAAGTAAAAGGTGTAGACAGAAACTTTTCCAATTCTACGTTCGAAGTCGGCAATTTTTTAAGCGACTAATAAAAAATATTAAGGTCCAATTGAACAGGTTGGATAAGTGACATTTAAAAAAAAAAAACAAATTTCTTTGAAAATGTCAACTTGGACTATCCAATCATTTAGAATAATGTATTTCTGCGTCTGAGATTCTGCTGTGATTTTATCATTTAATAATATTTAGTTATCAACACCCATAGTGTCTTGCCCATGTCCATATATTCTGCAACAGTTTATCGCTCTAAGCACAAATAATTTTCCTTTTTTCTCTTCTTTATTTTCATACTTTTTCATAATTGTATAACTGTGCATCTCCTCGTCAGACGTGTATTGTTCAAGGGTTCGATCTTAGACACGCGGGCTTGATCTATCCATGCCCAGTATAGGCCTTATCTTCCATCTTTTAATTTGTGCTGTATTGGTAATGTCTCTCACCATGTTACCTGTTTTTTTTTTCTCAAAACAAAAAAATAAATTCCAAACGTATTTTTCTCAAAACATGTGCATTATAACACTACATACACTTAATTTTTTTAAAACTATAAATATAAGAATAATAATAATAGTAGCACAATAACAACAAAAATAAATTCCAATAGATTGCTTTGCGATTAAAAAATTTATTTTATTTTTAAAATTTTTGAATTCAAATATTAAAATCAACGCTATGAAGAATTATTAAATTTTTTCAAATGTATCATGTTGATGTAAATAATATGTTCTTTATATTGTCTAATGAAAAACTTAATTTTTATTGATGCTTGAATTGGTTTGAAAAATATCTTATAGTAAAAAAAAAAAAAAAAAAAAAAACAAAAAAACAACAAAAATAATAATATTGTATAATATTCTTTTTTTTATATCATTAATCTTTTATTTTAAAATTAAAGATGCCTAGCATCCGCAGCAAAATAACTAATGTACATGAAAGGATGGTGATTTTAAATAAAAATGGAAATATATTGACACAAGCTACGGCAACGGGACACGGGCTAGCAACTAGTTAAATTAGCGCTGTGATAGATGGGCCGAGAGGCATATCACAGCCCTTATGTTTGGGCTTCATGGTTCTGCTCTCATGGTTGTGGATTTACCGATGGCTCGCCATATCCCTCGATCTCATATCAGGTTACTGAAGGTTTTTTTTTTTTTTTCCTCCTTGTAACATGTATTAGAAAATAAAATCAATATTATTTAATAACATTGATTAATTGTGAAAAATGAGTGTTTTCTTCGCCAAGAAGAAAAAAAGTAATTATAATAGAAAGGAGCTAGTTATTGATACCATTCAATTCTATAACCTAACAAAATATTAAGTTTTTTAATTAAAAGGATGGAAGGTACCTTATTGAAGAGCATGACGGGGCTTCGACTAAAATAATGTATTTTATGATTCGTAATAAGATAGGCTCCTAAGTACATAATGAAAAGTTGATAGGTCTATCTCTTGCATGCTACTTAAATCCTACATATCTTTCCTAAAACTTGAATTAAGAACTCGAATCTTCATAGCTAGGTTGTCTCATTTAGGAAAAATGATTCGGAATTATTGCTAATTTTTTATTGTCTTTAATTCATTTTAAATACTGGAGACGGGAATCTTGAATCAGAAGGAAGCTGGTGCTGGACCTTCCGATCGTTCTCTATGAACACGTGATTTAACAGACAGCACACCCCTTGATTTAGAACACGGATTTTCATTGCTGACCAATCATGAATTTTGTTAAACAGGGGATCCTTACATTTTTCAGTTACTTCTTCTGGTTGGTTTTTTCCTTCTTTTCCAAACTAGCATGTTGTTGTATTTAGACAAAAGCTTTAACATCTGGCAATTAATTAGTACGGCAACATCAGTACTTTTGTCTGCAATGTTGACAGTACTCCAGATTGCATTGGATGACCAACATTAAAAAGTGAGAAAAATGATGCTTTAATTAATAGTTTTGATATTTTCATGATCAATGTGAAGGGTTGTTGCCCTCTCTGTTCATGTTAGACAACTAACTAATAACCTTTTTTCTGGTTGGCAGAGGGGATGAAATCCATGATATCATTTTCGTGTTCAATGAGAAAAGTAATAAATTTGATTATCGAGGATAACGCTGTTAAAAATAATGATCATATTAGAACTTTCATTAAATTAAATTAAATAATATATGATTCAGAATGCAATTTTTCTTGAATCAAGGAATAAATTAACGTTTTCTGATGATTTTGAAGGCCATTAATTGGTTGTTAATCACCCCTGTATTTAATATTATTGCTGATTAAAGTAGTGGAGAAAATATGGAGAACAAATAATATTATAATCTTTGGTCATCATTTGGATTGGATGTTGGTCGTAACTAAATCTAATAAATTAGTGATATGGTCAAAATCAATATGAGAGGGACACATGGAAGGAGATGGATGAGCATGACCGCTGCTTGCATAAGCTGTTCTTGGAGCGAATTAGGTCTAGACTCTAAAGTCTAAACGACCTTCTTCAAGGATCTGCAATATATATATATCATAAATGGTTTATGTTGAAGATTATTTTTTGATAAGCCAAACAAATTAATAGAAACACCAAGCAAAACTTGGCAAAGAATACAACAAGCAAGGAAAAATAGCATGAGAAGCTAACTCCATTAAAGACATGCAAAACAAATGAAGGAGCTGAAACAAAACAAAAGAAAGCAGAAGAGCATTTGGGGTTGAATCGGATGAGACTGAAAAAAAAAAAAAAAAACCAAGCTATGAATGTACTGATTTCTCCATTGATTTTCAGAAATTTAAGAATGATTATGATTTTTCATTTAAAAATGTTGAATGCAATAAATGGTTGTATCAATAGCCTGATTTCAGAGGAGTTGCAGGTTACAACTTGCCTTTCAGTCCCTTTTTTTTTTTTTTTTTTTTTGGTGGGGGGTGTGGTTGCCTTTCTGTTATTGTTCGAAGCTTTGGTCCCCTTTAGAACAATTATCCGTCTGGTCCAAAGGAAGTGATATACGGTAGAAGGGTTGGCATGCGATGGGTTACCTTATGGGGTTTTTTTTGTAGCATTCGTGTTAGGAAAGTTATAGACAACCTCAAGCAAAGGAAAGATAGCTACAGTGTTATAAAACCACATCCCTAAATTTCCAAGGTTTCAAAGTTTTTTTTTTTTTTTTAAAAAAAGGTAATAATGGGTTTGATTTGTTTAGTTTCATTATAATTAGGATTGGATTATAACGCTTATGATGATGATTATTATTGATTATTAATAATATAAATATCTTTCCCACGTTCTTCTTGTCTTGTCAAAACCAACCTCTATTATTTGTTTGTGGAGTCCATGTTCATCCTCACTTGGATCATAAATCAGCACAATTGTAGCTGTCTCCTCTCGCATCAAGTGATATAAGTCCACTTTCCTTGCATATCAAATAGCAGTTTTGTATGGATTCAGAACTTCTTACTTTTTTTTTTTTTTTTTTAACGAACTTGATATTTATATTTATTAATTTAATTAACATTATTTAATACACAATAAAAATAATAATAGTTAAATTATATATATATATATATATATATATATATATATATATATATATATATATATTTGGCTTAATTCAAATTATTAAATTTAAAATCAATAGTTAAATTTAAAGCATGACCAATCATGTTCTTAAAAAGAAACATAAAAATATCCAGAAAGTTAATATTTCATTTTTCAAAATGTTCTTCTGTACATTTATAGCAAAATGTTTATTAAATTTAATATTTAATTCTTAAAAAAGGCTATTTATCAAAAACAAACATACCCTGAAATAGTATTTTAATTTTTTTATTTTTGTAAAAAAAAAAAAACATTACACATAAAATGACATAATAAATAAAGAAAATAAAAGAGAACCAATACCAGAGGTCAAGAGTCGAGTCAGGGAGCTCAAGCAAGGTTACATGACAATTTTTTTTTTTTTTAAGAAGCATAATTGTTAATTTTATTTGGATTCACTTAGTGTAAATTTGAAGTAATATATAATTCCAAAAGGAGTATGGATAAAAAGAACAGCAGCTTTTACGACTGGGAGCTAATTAATTAATTAATTAATTAGGGAAGGCATATTTTATGGCATGAAAATAGCATAGGGATTCCAATTTAGTGGGCTCCTTCTCTTGTCCAAAAGATCAACAAGACCCAAGCAGACTTTCTTCCGTAACCCCCCATCCCGTCATCATCTACCACGAAAAACTGCTGTGTGCGTCACAGAAAACACCTTTTTAAGAACCTCCTCTTCGCTCTTCATGTTGCAAAGTCTTGGACTTCTTGCAATATAACTATTCAATAAATAAAGGAAAGAGCATCAAGAGTTCATTTTTCACCATAATTTCCCAAACCAAGAAAGAAACTGACATTTTTCCTTGATGGGATACCTTTCTTGCAAGGCAGACTCAGCCGTTTCCATAATCTCTACCGCCCCAACATCTCAAACATCATCTTCTTCTTCTAAAGCCAAACAAGAAAAACCCATCAAGATCCAGCAGTTTAACTACAGTGATATTGAAGCAGCCACCAATGGTTTCTCTGACCAGAAGCTCCTAGGCAAAGGCAGCCATGGTTGTGTTTACAAAGCTGTTTTGCGTGGCCGACATGTTGCTGTCAAGAAACTGTCAAAGGGTTTTGAAATTGGCCAAGAAGTCGATAACGAGATCGAGATCTTGTCTAAGATTCACAGCCCAAGATTGGTAAACTTATTAGGCTTTGCTAATGATACTAAGGAAAGCTTGCTTGTTGTTGAGTTTATGAGTAATGGTACTCTTTATGATATTCTTCACTCAAATTCTAGACCACCCAGTTGGGGTAGAAGAGTTAGAATGGCTTTGCAAATTGCTAAGGCTATTGATACTTTACATTCACAAAGCCCACCAATAATTCATAGAGATATTAAGTCTGCAAATGTTTTGATTGATAGGAATTTCAATGCAAGATTGGGTGATTTTGGTTTAGCACTTAGGTGTGGTGCTGATGATGATTATAGACTTAAGTCAACCCCACCTGCTGGTACTATTGGCTATCTCGACCCATGCTATGTTACCCCAGATAATTTGAGTACTAAAACTGATGTGTTTAGTTTTGGGATTTTGTTGTTGGAGATTATTAGTGGAAGGAAGGCTATCGATGTGGGGCATTCGCCGCCTTCTATTGTCGATTGGGCAATTCCACTCGTTAAAAAGGGGAAACTTGGTGCTATTTTTGATCCTAGAATTATCCATATTAAGGATCCTATAATTAGGAAGCAATTGGCTTTGATTGCTTCTAAATGTGTGAGGTCTTGTCGGGAGCGGAGACCCACGATGAAGGAGGTGGTTGATTGGTTAACTGCATTGAGTAAATTGGTTCCGCTTCATTCATGGAATGGGTTTAACAATCCTTGCATGATGGTGGAGACAATGGGGCGTCCAGTAGAACTAAGAAATACACAGTTTGGTTCCAGACCACAAGGTGATGATGGAGAAAATTTGAATGGAATAGATGGTAAAATAGGCCGGAAATCAGTGATGGATACACGGCGAGTGTATTCGGATTTGGGATTTCGAAGCAATTTGATGGAACTCATGGCTGGAACAGATGCAGAGACTGATGGGGTTGAGTCTAGTTTGAAATCTGCTAATCGTGTTTCTAGTTCTAGATTTGTTAGTGCACAATCTGGTACCAAAGGAAGAGCTCAACCCAAAGCTCATGGTAATAGAAAAGGTCTGTTTCAAGTGAGAAAAAACCAATCAGTTGGGGATGGTTCAGAATTATTCTCAACAAAGGATAACACGGTTGCTCGTTCAAGTTTTAGTTGTCAAGGTTATGACGGTATCTAGCACGTTGTAAAGATTTGTTTGAAGTGGCTTGTCAGTGGAGCGAAGCTCGGGCTTGTAAGCTTCTCTTGCTTGAGAATTACATTGTTGTAGATTTGTTGGTAGCTCCTTGATTAGTGATTTTTACTCAATTTTCATTTTCCAAAGCACGTCGAAATGTTAATGTGTTGTTAAATTCCACATACATTTAGATCAAGGGCACATTGCTCGTGTCCCTTGCATAGGTTGTTGATCCTTTCCATTTATTACATCTTTTTTTATGCGAAGCCTATATATGTTCAAGAATTCCGTTGAATGAATAAATTAAGCTGATTCAGAATTGTTTGGATTGCTTAGAATCTCTTAACTTCTTCAAATGTGTTCTAGACGAGCCAAATTTCTGTTAGCCTTATTACTGGCCAGAGTTGGGTCCTGTATTTTCTGTATCTTACGGACAAAAGCATCTTTGGAATTAGGCGAGACATTACTGGAACATAGAATTAAAAGATGAAGAAGACCTGTCATATGAACGAATGTTGGTGGTCCATGATGTTTGCCTTTAGAGTTGTCAGCTTTTAGTAAAATCAGTGTGAACAAAGTTTATTTTGTCAGCAAGCAGTCTGGCTCTTGTTCTGTTTTCCATTGAAGAGAATTTCTCTTGATGATCTGTTGCTTGGAAAATTGTGTTTTTCCAAGAAAACTCAAAATGGAAAACATTTTGTTGAGGAAGAAATGAGTAGTACTAGAAATGTAATTTGAAGCCGGACGTTGGCCAAGGTTCAATCCTAAAGTATTTAATTATGTGGTCTATGATCTGTTCTTCAGTAATTGTGGAGTAGAATGACAGAGAAGTCTTTCCTGCTTAGAAAAACGGTAGGTGGATATTCATTTTCAAAGTCAGAACAAACATACTGCAGCGAATTGGAATTTCTGTGACAACAACAAAGGCAGTTTTTTGGTGGAAAAACATTTGTTGTGGACATTTCTAAAGATATATCTATGAAACTCTCTCCTAAGCTTCGAAGTTCCTTCAAAATATGGTGGAAACTGTTTGTAGCCAAACTTCAAGAGGAGAAAAATTCAGCTTTCGCATCACACGCATAACAAAATCTAGTAGCAGTGTAGCACTAGAGACTTCTTTCTACCTTGAGCTCGACATTTGTCATCTACGGCTTTGATATTGACTAGGTCACCAAAGTCTTCGCAGAGTTTCATCAGGTTAATCTTAAAAAAAAACTAAATAAATAAAAAATCATAATCTTTGTTTGGTCTTGATTTGTTTTAATGGATAAACAGTTGTAATTTCAAACCAACCCCTTCATAGGCTTCATTACAAAGAATTGTGAATGACTCCAGCATTATTATTCTTGATAAAACAGCGGTTGCTATTGTTTCAATAATTGGCAAACTTACTGATGTAATGTTTACTCTAAGAAGGAACTCCTCTGACATGATTGAGATTAATCACACATGGACCTACTGATGAGATAATTAATTGACATTCCTTCATTTAAAACAACTGCATTGTCTTTTTCCTATATTTTGTTGTAATCATACATGTAAACAAATTTCCTCACTCTTTTATGCTTTCTACTTCATCTCAATTTAGGGCTAAATATTATGTTGAAAAAGGAAAAGGCCATCACCAGCTTCCCTCAATTTAATCAGAGTGATGAAGAAATTGAATTCTAAGTGATCTTGCATTGCATTTCTCAACTTGTCACATTTTCCTTCAGACTACTCAATTTCAACCAATTTTTTTTTTGGATGAAAATTTCCAGACAAGGACTACACAGAATCCAAGTTGTCCATTCACATGGATATTTATCAAGACAGACAAAAAAAAATCTTATTGGTTGAAACAACTGAAGTTCAGTTCCGTTGAGTTATTCACACAAGACGAAGGTGGCCCAAAAAAAATTGTTTCAAACTCCAAAAACCAGGACAGAGAGATGGTGTCCCTAGCTGTTAGCTGGAAGCTGGAAGATTTATATTCCTCACCATACGTCAAGGCTTTACAGCTCATATAATTACCTATTGCATGTGCCTCTCCTTTTCATATGCCAATACCTTCTATGTCTTGCAGTTGTGTTATGCACCAACATGCAGTTTGACTTTGAACAAAATTAAGCTAAAAACTATATATATATATATATATATATATATGGAAACCCTTCTTGCATCCTATTCCTCACCAATGGATCAGTATGATTTCTTTTTTCTTCAATATTTGATATGAAACACTTTAATTATTGCGATATTAAATAGTCAAAAGTACTACTGAACTAACGCTTTCATGGCCGAAACTAAATCCTTTTCCTATTGTGTTTTAAGGTAAAGATTATTTGAAACTTGATTGTGCGAATAGCAAGCAACCTACTGATTATCCAAACCAATACTGGCTCAGAAGTTTTGTGTTTCCAACTTTTTCTTTGTATTTTCAAAGTATATATCATAATTACTGGAAGAACTGTGACTACTGCAAGGAAAAGGGGTATCAATACCATAATGGGAAGGAAAAACTTTGATGCTTTTACCGGGCTGGGGAAAACGTCAAAGGCTCTTGTTTTCTTCGAGACCCATTTCTTGTCTGTACGTTATTGGCTTTTATCGATGAATCAAGTTACCTTTTCTTTTTCTGGTCATCCAGTCAATGCAATCACTAGATTTTAAGTTTCAAATCAAGTCTTTACAGTTGATTTGAATTTTGGGTTTTTTTTTTTTTTTGAAACAATAGTAAAATAAAATTTAAATCACCATAATTATTAGAGACAGATAATGGAGATGCTGAATTAGATGCCAGTGAAGCAAAATCAAGCTTCAATCCGATTCATATCCAAATCTTTTGCAATTTTCCTCATTTTATTTTTTTCTTTCTTTTCATTTTTTTTTTTTAATTTCTTTGCTGTAGATGCATTGCAAGCCGACAACCCATCATCCATTCGGTCCTTTTCATATCGTGTCCTTTCCATACCAAAAAAGGTGCTAAAACTTTGAAAAGAACTTCCCAATCAGAGACAAAAAATAAGATAAAGAAGGCTTGATGTTAAATCGGCCTTGAAGTACAGACAGGATGGGAGAACTGAAAGGAGAAGCTACTGCTGGTAGGAATGAGAGCAGGGAGTAACATTTCGACCAATAACGAATCAAGGTAGCTGTATTAAGTAGAAATTCTGAAATTACACTCCTATTGAGTATGGCCACAGAGCTGAGAGCAAATTACTTAAAATAACAATCATGTTATCATGAGGGAGGAGATACAACTGATGGTGAAAGCAGTAGATTTCTTAATGCCACTAAACATAAACCAAAAATGTGAGTTGTAATAACATTGGGGGACTAAAAACCAACTCTATCTCTCAATACTACAAACAAATGTCAAAAGTGAGGGAAAAAAAAAAAAAAACAGTATCATTAATATCCTGAAAACTATCCTCACTGACTCATTGTAGAAAAAGCATTACTGTCGAGATCTTGTGACAGCGAAGCAGGGCAATAATCCAAAACCCTGCAGTTCTGTCTAGAGAAGTCTCTTGTGTGTACATTGAAGAAGACAGCCAGCTAAAAATGCTACAGCACATGTGAAAAGAGAGACGCTGAGAAGAGATCATATAGTTTGAAATTTTGTGTTTTAACTCGATCTCACACCAGCACCCTGCCTTGTCTTGATCATTCTTTTGAGCGTTGCTAGCCAGAAGTTACACTCATCCCACTCACTTGTGGTAAGAAGTACCTGTTCCATGCATAGGAATAGGAAGGGTTAGTAGTGCTTAGAACTCATTTCAGGTTGCCAGTACATATTTTAGGTGTAAAAAAAAAAAAAAGAGCTCTTGAATAGCACATGCCTGAATTTGCAGAGCTGTGCTAAAATCATTTCTGTCTAATGCCTGGCATAGCTGGACAAGCTTATCAGAAGCATTTTTCGATATATCCCCACTGTTGAGTTTGGCAAACAAGGCACCTATTTTCCTCGAATTATCTTCAATTTCACGCTTCCTAGCAGGATTTGCACGGGCACCACCCAAAGCTTCTGATGTCTCATTAAACAATCTTGTCAATGTTGTAATGACAGGTCTATGATGAGCTGAAACAAGTAGTTCAAAAGGAACATAAATTTGCTAGTCAGTAGCACATCAGGGAAATCATTGCATTATACAAAGCATATAGCTACTTCTATCGTCAAATGTTAGAAACCAAACTAGTTGGGATTTCAGAAGGTTATTTATTCAGCCTAAACCAACATATAAGGTTTGAATGCTTTGATAGCAACCATTTTCATTTTACTAATACATGACAAAGACAATGCTACAACATCAAAGACGATTCCTAGAACTGCCCATCAGACAGGAACTGCAGCCTACCTGTTGCTAATACATGACAAAGAACTTTTTTTTTTTACAGCAAAGCTACCCAAAGATAACCTCAACTAATATCAGAAAGACAACCCTAGTGCAAGCAAAGTTTTCTAAAACTATTAGTAAGTTGAAGTCAATAACCAAAATTGATATATTCAAGCGAAAGTGCCATTTTGCTTTCGTAATTACCAGGTACATTTGAGGTATCGACTGTTTGCACGGTTGGTGGTGGGGCAGCAGGAGTCACAGCTGGTTGGACTAATGCAGACTGAGTAGGACTAGGCGGTTGCATTGAACCAATCCCAGGTCTTTGAGCAACCCCTGAATGTACAGGCCTAAATCCCGTTGGTGTTGGGCCAGGAGCAACAACTTGTGGCATTCTGTGGCCAGGAATTGCACCCACAGAACCTGAAATAGGTCCTTGTGAGCCAGAAGGGGGCTGTACAGGATTATAAGAAGGATTTGCAGTCCCCTGAAAGCCACAAACAAAATTTTTAGTGCACCACTCAGAAATATACCAGTCAACGCAAAATTTAGAAGCCAAAATAAATATACACACAGGATATAACTGAGAACCCAATGTGGGTTGCTGATACTGTTCTGCATTTCTTAGAATGGGAACATTTGCAGGAACAAAGGTCCTTGTAGCTTGTTGAGTAGCGGCATGAGCTGGAGGTGGAGGTGGAGCAAAATTTGCCTGTAAGAACAAAGGTGAAGTAATGACCACCAGGGTACTACCTAATAAATTATCTTTTACATAAAACCAAATCAAGATAAAGAAAACAGAATACCTGAGGTGCCTGAGGAGCAGGAGTTGGAACAAACATTTGGGGCTGCGGTGCAGGCTGGTATGCTGGGGGTTGTGCGGAAGGCTGATAGGGAGCAGGAGCACCATATCCTCTTCCGTATGAAGAGTCAATAGGTTGCTGATAATTTTCACTGTATGGACTGCCAGGAACACTCTGATGCATTTGTTGAGCTACTGCTCCCTAAAAATAAACAAGCATAAAGTGGTCAATCACATGAGCACATCACATCCCCTACAAACAGCAAAAACAAAAATACATTAGAGGAATGAAAGCCAGAAAGCCGACCTGATAATAAGAATGAGAAGCATCAGCCGCACCAAAACCAGAATGTTGGGCGCCATAAACTGATCCACCTTGCTGTTGGGTGTTCTCAAAAGCTGGAGTCTTAGCTTCTTTCTCTGCATCAGAAAAAGATATCTTAAACTGATACTCAGTTTCAAGACAGCATTTATAATGCCTCAAGGTCAGGGCCATGAGGCTATGTGAGAAGTTATGCTGGACCATGCTAGCACTGGATTCAATTGAAGGACCTAATTTCACTACAGTATAGAAGGAGCTCTTTAAATAAAAAACACTTCCTTTACCACAACACACCAGAGTTACTAAAGAGATATCATTATATGACCTGAACATGACTCAAAACACCAGAAAAACACCTGAATCCACTTTGACCACATGGGATCAAGCAAAAGGAGGATTTCCCACAACTCGTTTGCTTTGTCAGTTGACTAAGAATAAGCTACACTAGGGGTCAAGGAAACCCTGACCCACATGGATTGGCAGGGCTGAAAAGAAAAGGGGCTTAGCTGACTTAAGAAGCTAGCATAGAGGGCAGCAACATCAAATCAAATATTTCTACTGCCAGGTCTCCATATTATGCATTGACGCCTAAATTTCCAACTAGGATTGGTAAAGCTATACTAGGGTTAAAGGAAACGCTTACCCACATGGATTGGCAGGGCTAAAAAGGAAAGGAGCTGAGCTGACTGATGAAGCAACAATAGAGGGCAGCAACATCAAATCAAATATTTCTACTGCTAGGTCTCCATACTATGCATTTAAGTCTAAATTTCCAACTAGGATTGGTAGAGGGTCAAAGGAATGAGATCGTAACATCGCAAGTTCTACCACTTACTTAAGGTAGGTGGCTGTGTGTGTGTGTGTGTGTGTGTGTGTATCACAAATAAGATTTTTGCTCCCTTCATTTTCCTATTTCCTTTATTTTGTTTAGCTCAATCTATATACTCGTATTAAAAAAAAATTAAAACCATAAAAAAATAATACTCATAGAATTGGAAGATGGAAATTGCATTTTCAATGACCTTGACCTCGACAATATCACTCATTCAAGTAACTTTGTTGGAATAAACAATAAAGGATAATATAATGTCAGGACATTGAATGATAAACTACAATTTCAAAACCAAGAAGGTCTATAGCTCTGCATAAGATTTTTCAACAAAAAGACATACCAGGTTCTGTGGAGAGAGCGATACGGTCTCTTAAGATTGTAAGTTCAGGAGACAATTCATCAGACCCCAAAAGTTTCAAGTACTCTAGTGCTGTTGTTAGGAGGCCCTGACTAGCTAAAATTTCAGCATATTTCTCAACAAGCTTGCACAAAGAGGCACTAAATTGCTTTTGGCCACTTGCCAGAGCAAGTACTATAGTCTTCTCCATCAAATCCTAACCAAAAAAAGAATAAAAATCAAACTTCCATAATGACGAACATAAAATACTACGAAGTTCTACTTCACTGCAAGCTAACCTGAAGAAGATCAAGGTACGATTTCCCTTCACTCTCAGCTGTCAGACTCCTCGACCAAATTTCAACTGTTTTGTCAATATTACCCGCACATATATAACAAAGAGTTGCCGCCAAAGTATTACCAGCATCCATTAATTTTGAAGCAAGTGAATTGCATAGCATACTCCATTCCTCACTTGGTGCAAACTGATTATCAATTATGATGCAAGTAAATCAATATGGTGCAAAAACAGTGTCTTGCACATCTGTTTTAACAAACACTTCCATGTGAAAACCTTTTTCCATCACAAGTTCACATAGAATTCAAGTGCAAAAAATGCAGGATCTAATATTTTATTATAAAAATGAATACTTCAGTCCAAAGGTAAAAAAGCAAATGTAAGCACATCTCCACTTTTTTCCAAACTACATATGCAAGCAGAGTGCCACTTCATGCACATAAATTTAATTCCACAACGAAAACAGAAGAAAACAAAACACACAATGATCAACCAACAATTTATAACTACAGGATATCTTGCATTAGTCAAAAACAATTTACTACTGAATTTCATCAGATATGAAACATGATATTCACTTCTTTTGGATTAGCAGAGCTTACTGTACAAAGGAGTGCAAGTGTTTCTTTCCAGTATTTGAGTGGCCTGGTGTTTACAAGGGTCATTAGATCATTGTTCACCATTGCAGAAACAATCTGAAAATGAAAACGGTTGACTGTTAGGAGACAACTTCTAACTGATTGATAATAGGGAAAAGCATATAAGGTTGTAATACAGATACATATATTTGCAAAGACAATAAGTCTAGGAACATTGAAAAAAAAAACAGAAAAAAGAAGAAGAAAAGGATTAAAGTTAAACTACCTTCAAGTACGGTGAAGGACTCAATTTAAGATATTGATCACGTGTCTTCTCCCATAATGAAGTGCCACCAACATGAGCAATAACTAAAGCATCAGCTATTTTATTTGCTGATATGCATTGTGCAACAGCCCCTTTGTAGTCTCCCACAACCAAAGCATGCTGTATACTATCATCAAATGATGGGTCAGCACTCTCCTCGGGTGTCTCTAGTTCTTGTGACATTTCTTCAGCACTAGGAGCAGAATTCCCAAGACCAACATTATCACCAGAAGGTGAAAAAGAAGTATCAGCTTTGGGACTTGGAAGGTTGTTAAAAAGTCTTCCCCATCATCAGCAGTGAAGATGGTGGCCTCTTTATTGTTCTCATATCCCACTCTGTCAGCTGGTGTATCATCAAGTCGAATGGCATTTACTTCCTGGGTGAGATTGTCCTCTTGTACAGCATCATTTTCTTCAACGGGTACACTAAAACCAAGGTGGGCAAGCATCCTAGTTCTTGCGGTTCCATCTTCTTCAAACATAACCTTTAAGAAACCCCAAGTTTCTTGATCATCTACTGATCTGCCAAGATGATTGACCAGACAACTAGTGAATTTATTAGAAGAAAAGGAGAAAAGGAGCAATTAAGTCCTTTTCTTGTCCTGAAAAGAGAAGATTGCTTAATATACAGATACATACTCAGATTCCTGAGATTTTTTATCACACAAAGCCTTCAGCAATGCCTTCTCCCCATTTTGTATGGCACTTTCAAATTCAGATGACCGACTCACTAAACTGTCTTCTGTAACTAAGTTATGCAAAAACACCTGAGAGAAAGACTGAAAAGAGTAAGTGCAAAGGAAAAGTTGAAAATATAGGAGAAAAAACAAATTCATCCAAAAAAGATACCTCAGAAGCACCAGCTGCAGATAACCTAGGGCGAAACGATACAAGCTTTCCTCCAAAGCCAAAAGAAACCCCAGCCGGACGCTTATACCATTTTGGAGCTCTTAATTTTGCTGCATAAGAAAGATGATAAAATAGATATTCTGAAATGAAACTCAAAATAGACTATACAAGGTAAAAATAAAAAACAGTAGAAATAAAAAAAGACCATATGCAAAATGGTTTGTCAAAGCAATCTTCAAAGTCTCAAAACCCTAATTTTCTTGCAGGGTACGCTAAAATGGTACTTAATCCCACTCTTTCATTAGATAATCACTTGGATACTATTTCAATCTAAAAGACAAAGATTGAAGATGCAAAGTAATCTCATCATCTTTTAATGTTGATATATCGAATAGGACATCTTGAGCTAAACAATAACAATGACAACACTTTAAACTAGCATTACCCAAGTCAAAGCTTCATTCGATCTTGGAATTAAAAACCAAACTAAAACCATTCCTGGCTCAACACCAAAACAACGCCCATATAGAAAAAATTCATATTGTATTATGGAAGGACGAAGTTGGTGTTGTAATGAAATCAAATTGATTCTTTGTAGTCCATCATGCTCAAAGAACGAATCACAGCCAGGATTTGTGGACATGTTATTATTTAGCAAAAGCAAATTGAATTGCATCGAATCAACTGCTAAAGTTTATGGTATGATTGTAATTAATTACACAGAAAACAGATGAAACATTGACAACACGTCTTGTCTAATAAAACTACATTACCTGTTCCAAAATGACTCTCTGCAGCAGTATATCGACTACAACCCTGCAAAGAGAGATCCAAAACAAAAGACCTTTATAATGGAAATGAGGTTAAAAAAAAAATGCAAAGGAAACTATATCACATTTCTATAGACTCTCTAATTTCCAAGTTAGCATTCCATTATTTAACCTACTCTTCCAAGCCAACATTGTACATTTTCAAACCACTAACATATGTGTATCATTTCTTTTCTATCTTTCTTTTTCTCTTGAGGGGCAACATAATTTTATCATGAGTTTATTTTTCCCTTCCCTTACTACATACTTGCCAGCAAGAAGCCAAAACAAATTCAGTCTCAGCATAAAATAAATGCTTACCTCAATGTTGTAAATGCCAATCTTTCCATCAAAGGAAGATGCTGATATAACTCCAGGCATCTTGGGATACCAGTGAACATCAAAGTTCCAATTGGTACCCGCCGGTAATTCACAGACAATCTACTCCAAAATTAAAAAATAAGCATCAACCAAGGGTAAGAAAAGCATAGGCAGGTGAAAGCTTGGAAGAAAAAATAAAAGGGCAAAATATTCAAATTTTATTCATACCAAAGAAAAAAGGCAGAAGGCCTCTAAGATTGTTCGATTACCTCTCCAGTAACTGTGTTCCAGCAGATTGTTCGATTATCTTTAGCACAGGTAAGCAAATATGAGCTGTCATTGGGACACCATGACATTCCAATTACACCTGGTGTGACAAGACATGAGACAGAAAAAATAATAATAAGTCGCTGATGAAGTAATCAAATAAAATGTTATTATCACTAAAGGTTTTAAGAGAACAGAAGTATTGAGCCTCAGTGTGACAATTGGTTCATGGAAAACTGCCACCAGGATAAGGAAAAAAGGAAGGGATATGCAGAATGAAGATTAAAGATATTTAATTACATATCACAAAAAACATAAACCCTGATCAGTGCACATACATAAAACAAAAAATTCACATTCTCTAGGTCAGAGATGATTTTTATGACACACGCGCAGCAGATCCTTTTGGTCTCCAATATTCTAAAGAATGATGAAATCAGACAAGCTGGAGCATTCTTTCCAGTGAGCCTACTAGATTTTATACCACACAACCAAAGGAGAATGAAACAAAAAGAGAATCTGAAACTGCTATGAATTAGATGGGATAGGATTGTAATTCTGGCGTCTTTATGGTATTCCCTCTCAAAAAGAAGAGACAACACAAACATAGCCACACTATGTCTATGTTTGTCTTCTTTTTGTCTTTTCATTTTTCTCTCTCTTAATAACCTAAGAAAAAAAAATCATGTTGAAATATGTCATACCTTTAGTGTGTCCAACAAACTCCTTCACAGGTTCAAGTATGTTTCGCATATCCCAAAGCTGCAAGCAAACAGCATTATGGACTTGGAAATTCAATGGAAATTAATAATTGAAAAAAAAAAAAAAAAACCTCTAGAAATAGCAAAGAAATTACCCGCAGAGAAGGAGAGCCATCTTCATCTGACGCCACAACAAGCTGAGTGGCAACATCAGGATGCCATTGCAAAACTGAGCACCGCCTTCTAATTGAATCTCCAAAACTGTTTTAAGTAGAAGTCTAGAATCAGCTTTGATAGAAGTATTTTTAACCCCAAAAAATAAAGATTTAGAAGATGGTATCAGGAAGAAATAGAAAGCAGAAACTTACGAAATCGCTGGTTTCTGCTTCTTTAGGTCCCAAACCACTGCAAATGTAAGAAATGGTCAGTCTTCCACACTATAGGAAAGTAACTAGGCCATCAATCATAAGTGAGTCCATTTTGCTAACTCACCAGTTATTCCATTGGAAGAAGTGGACGCTAATATATGTTGAACTCTGCAATTCCAAGAAACATAAGAAATTTCTCCTTGAGCAGCAGAACCAGTACCCTGCATAAAGATCCCACCAGATGCAGCATGAAAAATGGACAGAAAACCAGTAAGTACCAATAAGGGAGCAGAAAAGGGAGAGAAGAGGAGGGAGGTGGACAGAGGGGTTCTTAAGTTGAAACCCTACTGTCGCTAGTCCAAGAAAAAACTATATAGAATTAGGCTTCCACCAACAACTAGTATCAATTTGAAGAAAAGTTAGTTCAGAAAAACATAAGAAAAAACAAAGTGCAAGGTTTCTCTGATAAAGGATGAAATCAAAATCTTGGCAGAATCAAAATCTAACTCCTATTACTATTGCAGGCATGGAACTGCAAGAAACAGCTAGGAATGACACACATTGGGCCTAACAGAATATATCAAACTCACCAGATTTTCCCTCTTCTTTCCAAAACCACCCTATACCTTAGTAACTCGTGACACCCCATATTTTAGCCAAACAAATCAGTGGTGTGTGTCCTGAGAAAGAAAAGAATTGGGCAAATAGTCTTGCTTCTATTTCCAGAACGACCCCCGGTTGCATCTTCCAAAGGATTTAAGCAGTAAAACAAGGCATATGCTACACTGATTAACAATTATGCTTTTACACTCAGTTGTAATATCATATATCAGATGATCTGTTATATTATTGTAATGTACATCAAGAAAACACAACTGCATGCATCAGGCAACATAGGAAAACGCAACTGTTCACACTGCCATCCTTTTACATCTACCGTGATGAACATAAAATGAAAACTCAACTTCTTCCTTGACTTTGCAAAATAATATCCATTCTCCACATAGTTTTCCTCAGCATTTTTCATGTCGACTACATCTTGAAACAAAAAGAATTGAAAGGACAGTATTCGCAGTATGAATAGACAATAGGTAAACAACATTATCTAAACATCTCATATGAGATTCTAACCGGAGACAACACAAGATCAAGTCCTATATATCAAAATACCATGGGCAAGTCTCAAGCTAATAGAGAGACATTGTCCAAAAGAGAATTTCCATTCAGGAGCTTCCGTAAGAACTTACGACAGTAGCTTAATTGTAGTTAAGCTACAATGCATGCAAAAATCAAGATAGCATGGCAAACGCATGAATCGGTGCAGGCAGCAATGACAGATAAAGGTAGAGCACTTTTGGGGGGTTTGCAAACATTATGAGATTACAGCAGCGTTAAAATTTATCAATAAGAAAATTTACCATCAAAGACCAGTGCTTTGATAATTTAAGTTGTTTTGAGCTCAGAAGGTGTTTAGGTAAAAAAAAACCTCGTTGCTTGATCTCGATCATAATACAATCATATTAGAAGCTTTTGATTGTTGAAATTAAATTTTCTGATTGGGTACATTATATTAGCCATGCTATTTTGTACTTCTGGGTGAGCAGGCATAAAGAAAAAAATGATTGGATGTGTTTTGGTATGAATAAACATGTTGTCACATAGACTCAGTCCTTATCCAATCATTTAGAAGCTTGTACTTGTTAAATTTGGATTTTCCGATTAGGAAAATTATATCAGTCCACTTTATCTTAAATTCAAGGTAATGATGAAACACTGAGAATGTTCTACATCTATTTTTTTCTAAAAAAGTTGGACTCAAAACACCATGTAGCAAAGAAGGAAAATGACAACAAGTGTTAAGTGGTTAATACTTCCATTCTTGGACATACAATCTCCTTCTTATAGTTGATTAGGTAGTGAAGACACTTAAGAAAGTAGCAATTGACCAAACATTCCAGCATTGGGAGATGGAGGAAATGGTAATATTAATTTCCAAACCCAGGCAACAATATAATACACCAATTCCCCCAAATTTTGCTTCAGGATTTATTATTGAGTTGGAGGAGATTGCGAAGGAATTAACAAACATCATACAACTCCAATCCTGTTCCTTTTTACCTTACAGAAAGCTCCTTAATGAGATTTGAGGGATTAAAACTCCAACGACACCAGGTCCAATCCAATCAAATCTTCATAATAACAACGCCAATAAAAAATATCTACTCGAACCACTTTGTAACCAAATTGATTAAGATCTGTAACTTTTCAGAGGTACCATCGCCTTATTAACAGATTTTCCTACCATTCCGCTCTAATAATCCAACAACCAACAAACTATCCTCTTTTCTGTCTCATTTCAAGAAATTTCAGAAAGTTTCCAAGGATCCCATATCAAAACCAACCCCACCTCATAAACCAAACATTCCCTTGTTTTACATGATCCATGAAATAAGAAAATACAAAAATCTCAACCTAAACACCAGTCCAGTCTCATTACGATAAGATCACATAAAATCTAGTGTTGCACATAGACAAACCACACTGGAGAAGTATCAAAGACTACAATGGTTCTCATCAATTACTTGTTAGGAACAACTAAAAAAGTGGTATACATCAGCTGGAGCTGTTGGGCAGCAAACCAAAAAAGAAAGGGAGCAAAAACAATCCCAAACACCAACATATATCTAGTAATGAAGTGCACATTATAATAGACTTCTTCTTCATCAGCAAGAGTTCAATAGAGGGAATATGGAAATTTAGAGACAAAAGTACAAGCGGAAAGAAACTTTAAAATGGTAAAGGGTCAAATGTAGCATACCTTGAGAGGTGGAAAATGAGAAGGTTCCACAGGTGCAGCCAAATCCCATATGCAGATTTCACCGTCATCAGCACCAGATGCAAGTAAGTTAGGGGTGATGGAATTAAATTCAAGGCCACGAACCTGAAAGCAAGGGGGGTGTACGTAACAGGCATAAAGTCCAACCATCAAACATTTAAACTAAGAATGCCCAGAAGAAAAAAAAAGTTTTTGTGAAAGAATAAACTTACAGGCCCCTTGTGACGCGATAGATGGCTAACAAGAGCACTTTCACTTGCTTCGGGACTGGGGACAAAATTAGAATATAAAATAAGGACTTCATCAAGCAAAAGAAAAGGAATTTAGACAAGATTTACAGTGTAGATTTCTATTATATATTTAACATAAAAAATTAAAATTTTCGCAAACAATTACATGCAGAGAAGAATTATGTTGCTTGAAAGCAAAAAAATGAGGAATTTCAAAATCCACAAAAAATCTATCTACATCAGTGCACAGTATAATTTCCCTGGGCTCCAGCCAAACCATCATCTGTCCAGCAACCAATTACCCATATCAAAAACCAATCCTCTACTTTCATACATTTCCAACTTTACAGAGAACTCAAACTTCAAAGCACAGTTAAAAACAACCAAAAAGATCAAGGCACAAAAATAAAAACCAAAACAGAAAAGAAAGGTGAAAGACCCTCATTTAAAATTTTATAATAAAAAGTTCATATCAATGCAGGCTCAAAATGAGAAACAATCACCACCTAAACAGCCATTGCAACAACCAAATAAAATTCATTGCCAAGAAGTTACCTCACTCAAATCAAAATTGAGCTTTCGTCCAAAATTCAATTTGGAAACATATCAATAGCACAGCACACAAAGATGCATTCTCACAGACCACATAAACTTCTACATAACCAGCATATAAAATCCCAAGCAAAACTCAATTTAAATCAAATCACAGCATTCCCTAACATACCAATTTTCCTATTTTAAATCAGAACACAATCTTACAAAACTTAATTCCCATCTCTCCCTATATTCCAAACTCATAAACAAACAACTCTGATCAAAACAATTCCGCTCAATTCAAATCACATTCAATGCAAAACCAATCCACGCACAAACAAAACTACCTAATTTGTGTCAGATCTCACTATACTTCCCAAAATACTCTCCTGCGCTCACAATTTCACTTACAATTACCAGAATTAACAAACCAATCTCATTAAAATTCAACTAGATGAGACATACAGCAAATTTCTAAAATTACCGGATCAGGGACGAGGGATTCCAAATATCGATATTGCCATCGACAAGACCACCAGCAATAAGTCCAAGACTATAAGTATCAGAGCCGGATCCATTCCTACCCCAAGCGAGACGATTAAATCTCTCAGAACTCTGACACTCACCAATAACAGGTAGATCACGATCCTCCGATTGGAAATCAAGCTTAAAGATCTCAAGATTCGCAGACGAGCTAAATGACAGATCCACTGCCCCCGCCATGGTCCCGGCCGCCATGTAGGGCGATTCCGGCGCTAACGCCACCGACGCCGATCTATTAACGGACTTAATAGACGCCATAATTCACTCCTATCAATCTATATAACTACAAAAACGCCAATAAATAATTGGATCTGAGAAATGAAGAAATGAGAGAATTCGATTAAGTTGGAATTTTTTTTTTAGCGTTTGATCTAGATTTGGAAGAGAATTTGGGATTTATTTATTTATTTCTATATAGACGTTACACCCTAGTCTTCGCTCCCCCTCTCTCTCTCTCTCCCCTTTTCGCTGTGTTGCTTGTGCGTGAGAACGGAGAAAGAGTGATGTTTTTGTTTGCAATTTTTTTTTTCTGTTTTTTTTTTTTTGGGGGGGGGTTTAAGTTTGGTTTTATATGCCGCGCTCTTCTATTTGTTATCGGTTGGATAATGCGTGCTGTAGATGTTGTACCTTAGGAGAAAATGTGAGGAATGAGGGTCTCTTTTGTCTATAATGTACATGTTGTGAAGATAAATTTCTCATAGAGACTTCGCTTCTGTCATGAATCCAATTGTACAATGGCATGTGTCCAGTACTCAGTAGCGTCTGCGTTTCTTTTTTTCGCTCGATAAAATTGCGATGAAGCTGCCAGATATGGGCCGATGGAAAGGGCCTAGGAATCAATTTTCGAGATTTTTTTTTCGTCATTCATCAAATGATATAAGTGCTGACTATTTTTTCGTGAAAAGAACTATGGGTGATAAGTCGGAGTAAATTATTAATTAGTCTCTCTAGTTGACAAACAAATTAATTTATCATTTATTTTTAAAAAATATATTTTTTAAAAAATAAAATAATAGTAAAATAAATACAATGTTTCTTGAATTTAGAAGGCTAATTTATAATTTACTGTGATAAATTGTGATTCGGACTGGCTGAAAAGAACCATTCTGAGCCCAGGCATGAGTTATCCATTTGATTACTTTGCTTGTCCCTTTTCTTAAGCCTAAAGTTTGTTTTCCCGATACGAAACGGATAATTGCACAAGCAGCACCCAACTTTACCATTTTCTCAGTCAAATACGTGGATTTTAAACTTGTCATTTAAACACATTTATTTTTTCAATCTAATACACGAATTTTAAAATTTTCATGTATATATATTTATTTTTTCAAAACTTTCAATCAAATATTTATATTTATGTTTTTTTGCCAGTTGCTTCACGATGTTTCCTTTTCCATTGGCACTCATTTTGGTATAGACTTTTCCGATTGATTGGCAATGAGTTGATCAAAAACTAAAAACGTTCAAGAATATCATTCCATGATAAGTTACAAATTTTTATTAAGCAAACAACTTTTTTAAATTACGATTAGAACTGACAACTCTCTCTGCATGTTTACTCGAATCATATTTTTAAGTTCAGCCTTTTCGGCTCTTAATTTAAAATCCATTTAGCATGACTTTTAAATTATAACATTTCAAGACAAAAAAAAAAAAAAAAAAAGCTTAAAACAAAAATAAATTAAAAATATATTTGGTAAAAACAACTCTAAACAATTTTTTGAATAAAGAACAAAGTACATGTTAGAATCATAAGTTAAACGTTAAAAATTTATAATTTTGTATTAAATCAAAAAAAAGTTTTATCCCAATTTTATAATCATTTTTAAAAATTAAAAGATATTTCTAACTAAACATACATACTTATGACTTTTTTTATAGTTAAAAGCGTTAAGACAACTTAAATCAACTACAAAAATCGTGCCCCGCATAACCTTAATTAATCCATGCTGACATGGAATATAAGAAACACCTTTTCGTTGCTTTCTAAATGACAACATACAGATGCAGATGATAAGAAACACACGAATATCGCACACTAGATATGCCAAGCTAACTGGGAAACCAGTAAATACCATTCAAGCCTAACCATATCATCTAGACATTCTGCTTTTTTATATTTTTCATGAAAACAGAAGAGAGAGAGAAAAAAGGCAACAAAATAGAAGTCTTATTTTGTATCCTGCTCATTTTCCAGATCAATAGGAGGATTCTGCCAATCGAATGGGAGTTTTATTTTGCCCAGTGAGCCTGCAGGAACAAGCTTAAGATTCTCGCAGTTGCATATCTCAATCATGTACCCATCTGGATCACAGAAAAAAAGCTGGTCAATCTTTGTTCCATTCTTATCGTCGTCTATTGTCCTCTTTGTGTACTTCACATTGAACTGCTTCAATCTCTGCTCCAGTGCTTCCATGTCCTCACACTGCAACATGTATAAATAATTGACCATATAAGAGACGAACAGTACTAGCTAACTGATACTTGAACAGCAAATTAATCCAAAATTCATTGCTTCAGCACTCATTTTCGTTCCAACTAAATGATATTCATCACTTCTCGTCTCATATGAGCTTTATAAACTCCAAGGCATCAGCCTAATAAATGATGAGATATGCTTCCTTCCCCCTTCCCTCACTTTCTACATTTAGAGGATTTTTTTCCCCCTTTAAATGCACCGACTAATATGAAAAGTGCATTCTTAAAACAACTCAACAAAAACATTTAATATCGTTTAAAACGTTTGGTAAACTTGCTCGAAGTTACTTGCGTTTCCTAGGAAATAAAAGAAAATATATAGCTTTAAAAAGTCGCAAATTAGTCCTGCATATCAATCATTAAGAGATTGACAACAAATAACATGTGCGTGTTATTGATATCAAAAAAATCATTTCAACTTAAAAATTTAAAATTTAAAGAATAATTTTATATTACTTTATGCAATATTTCTTCAACTTTCGAATAAAAGCTTTTTTGGATTAAAAATTTACAATTGGTCACTTAAAATCCATACGTATGGTTCATGGAACCGATCAAATGACAAAAATCAAACTAGCTAGTCGGGATCGTCAAACGACGTTTGTGCATATGTAGACGCGATTCGTTTTTCTTTTAAGAGCCACATGTGGAGAATCTAATTAATTACCCGAAAAGAAATATGGTTATCCATGGGATCCAATCTACGATCCGTTTTAGGCAAGCTGTTTTCATCCTTGACTCGGATCAAGTGAACCCCAACACCATAATTGAACAACCATGCACCATCAAACTCAAAAGCTAGTGGCCTCTCAATCAAGACCAACCCAAGAACCTTGGTGTAGAAATCTATGGACTCTTCCACATTTCTACAAAGCCTTGAGACATGATTCAAAGCCATTTGAGGAGCTTGGTCCTCCTATTTCCCTTCTTTTCTTTCATTGTGGCTCTCTTGCTCGTTATTATTTGTCTCTTCATTCTTTTCCATTAATCACGGTTACTTTTAACGCCGGCCCTCTTCGTTTCTATACTTTTCTTGGGTGCTAGTGCTCGTACGTTACTATAGCTAGCTCGGTAGTTCGAAGATGAGGGTTTTGTCCTACAAGCTGCATTCGGGACACGTGTGGGATACCGGTGACACGTGGTTGTACGAGTCCGCATTTATGCTATACGGTGACACCGTAGCTTGGATGGTTGACATTTGTCTTGTGTAAAGCGGGGCGGCACGCACCTCTCCTCGTTAATTAATCTGCTAAATCTGTGAAAAATGCGGTGGTAGCTAATGCAAGATCCCTCTTGGCAATCTTTGATGCCAAGAGTCCGCACAAAATTTGATTTTCCGTCTAGTTCTTGCTTGTAGTTTTATTGCTACTACGCTTTTTTTTTCCGGCACAAGACTAGCTAGTTTTTTATCCATACTATATGCGGACGTGAAAAATATATAAAATTATTTTAAAAAAATTTAGCTTAATAATGTGCGCTATATTATAGATCCACTAAAATATATATTTGAACCAAACCAATGAAAAACACACAAAACAAAACGAGATGATGCGTCCCGTCTGCGACTTCGGCAAATTATATTTAGCCGCAAATGTTGCTGAAAAAACGAGTTTTTAATTTTCATCCTCTCCATTATTAAATTCAGTCTCGTTTTTTTTTTTTTTTTTTTTTTTTTTTTTTTTTGTCTAAAAACATCTCGGAATTACACAAATATCGTTCAAAAATTCTTTTAAAGTTTCAAAATTTATTTTAATACACACAAAACACATAAAAATTAAAATCAAACTCGAAAAACTTAATATATTTATGGGTGTTGATTTATTTTCTCAAATCATTTCCTAGCTTGTAATTATTATTAACAAATTTTATTTTTCAAGATGAACAAATTGAAGGTGATTTTATTGATTCGAGGTAGTCGAAGTATCTCTCTTCGTTCATCTTTTTTCTTCTCTCTCTCTTATAAGCATTTAGAGATAAAACTATAATACAAATAAAGTTTAGAATCAAAATTATATTATTAAAAACGAGGAATCAAAGTGAAAGACACTAATAAATAGTGGAATTTTGAGTGAGTAAATAGTAAAAATAGGTTATGAGTTTTTGTAAAACATATAAGAATATGAACGAGTAAAATATATCATTTATCTATATTCTTAACTAAAAATTTGTAATAATCTAAAAAAAATTAAAAACCCATGAATTCTTAACTAATAACTTATTTTATAAATTTAATTTAAATATTAAAATTGACTTATTTTATAATTAATTATTGAAAAAAAAAGACTTGAGTCGAGAACTAGGCTAGTGAAGAAAACACAAAACAAAACAGATGATGTGTGCCGTCTACAACTTCCGACAAATTATAGTTCGCCGCAAATGTCATTGAAAAAATGAGTTTTTAATTTTCATGCTCTCCATTGTTAAATTCAGTCCCATTTTTAGTCTAAAAACATCTCAAAATTACACAAATAACATCCAAAAATTCTTTTAAAATTTCAAAATTCATTTTAATACACAAAAAACATATAAAAATTCAAATCAAACTCAAAAAACTTAAAATAGTTACAAGTCTTGATTTATCTTCTCAAATTATTTCATGGCTTGTAATCATTATCAACAAATTTCTTTTTTCAATGTGAACAAATTGAAGGTGATTTTATTGGTCGAGGGAGCCCGAATATCTCTATTCATCCATCTCTTCTCTCTCTCTCTCTCTCATAAGCATTTAGAGATCAAATTACAATACAAATAAAGTTTAGAAACAAAATTATATTTTTTAAAAAACAAGAATCAAAGTAAAAAATATTAATAAATAATGAAATTTTGAATGAATGAATAGTAAAAACAGGTTATGAGCTATAGTAAAACACATAGGATAATGAACAGTAAAATATCATTCTCTTTTAGTGTTTTAGTTAATTTTAAGAACATGAATCAAAGTAAAAAAATATTAATAAATAGTAAAATTTTGAATGAGTGAATAGTAAAAATAGGTTATGAGCTACAGTAAAACACATAGGAGAATGAACAGTAAAATATCATTCTCTTTTAGTGCTTTAGTTAAAGTTAATAATTGTGCTCTCTATTTTGAGGTTTTTCAAGAAAAAAAAATTAAAGAATAGTCCCTTTGCAAAAGAAGAATAGTTCCAAGAGCAAAATGAAACGAATAAATAAACCTCAATTAATTTTTGTGAAATCAAATACATATCCAAAGAAACGTTGTAGCTGGAACCAGGATTACAAATTCGGAATATCAAATTTGAACCTTACAAAAGTTGTAATAATGAGATTTTGGGATGAAAAAAAAAAAAAAAGAAGATATACATATATAGACACACGCACAAGAAACCTCCTCTTTAGAATTAACAAGTTTGAAAGAAAATTTGAGATAACTCTTACATTATAGTTAAGGCTCCGTTTGATTTGTTATATTTAAAAACTAAGCAGTTTTTAGTCTATTTTTCAAAAAAAAGTAAACATTTTGCTAAAACATAAAAGAAGGTAGGCTTTTCATAATTATAGGGAGCTAAAAAGGTTGCTTTAATTGTAAAGACAGCATGTCAAACGAACCCTAAGTCTGAATCAGATTATCCACGTAGAGAAAGAGGATTTTTTTCCCGAAAATTGAAAGAGGGGCCAGGCCAACCCTAGGAGGTCCGAGTCGGCTCCTCGTGATATTTGCCAGACAAGACCACAAACAAACGTGTGTAGAAGTCCGTCACAACCAACGGGGTCAGAAATCACTCAACAGTAACGGGAATCCACGCATCTCACAACCGAATCCTCCAAAAGCTTAAACCACCAACTAACCGGCACCAACAGCACCATATTAATTAACAACCACCAAATTGTTTGCTTCTTCAAACAGCAATTGCTGAAAGAAGAAGATGTTCAGGGATGTATCTAGCTGCAACACTTACAACTATGGCGACGCCTTGTATTGGGACGCCCGTTACGTCCAGGAAGCTGAGAGCTTCGATTGGTACCAGCGTTACTCTTCTCTTCGTCCCTTTGTTCGTCGTTATATCCCTACTTCTTCTCGTGTCCTCATGGTTGGCTGTGGCAATGCCCGTAATTATCTTCTTCTTATTATTATTATCAGTCGGCAGTCTTTGAATTGATTCTTTGTTTTTCGTCTTTATACTGAAATTATTGGACTTGGTCGCAGATTTATTGCTTTGTTTTCTTTAATGGAATTGGAGTTTTTGGTTTTGAATTCTTTTCTATTTAGAATTTTTGGTTTGCTGAACTAGAATGCTATTCTAATAGAAGCGGAAAAATGTGAGAAATAAAAGAAGTATTCGTTAAAGTTTGTATGTACTGTTAAGCCTGTTCAACTAAGGTTTGATATTGGATCTAATTAATTAGGCCTTATTTTCAAATTTGAGGGTGCCTTGTTAGTAAAAATTACTTTTTAGTGAGATATTGTTGTAAATGATTGAAATGCAAATGAGTCCCAAACTGTAAAACTGGCCAAACTTTACCTGCATGGACATCTCCTGAACTATGCAAAATAATTTTTTTTTTTTTTTGAAAAAGGCTTTTCTATTCATGTATATTTAAAGATATACATACATGTATGTATATGTTTGTATTTGACTATGCTTCCCATGGGATTGGTTTTGCACTGCAGTTATGTCTGAGGACATGGTCAAGGATGGATATGAAAAAATAATGAACATTGATATTTCATCAGTGGCCATCGACATAATGAGAAGAAAATACAAGCACTTCCCTCAGCTCAATTGTATCCTTTTAAAGGAACTGCTTTAACCTCCGCTGTGGAATTAAACTTTGCCTTTTCTTAATTAGATATCTCTACTTCTGTGTGAGCTTCCTTTATGATTTATGTATGATAGACATGGAAATGGATGTTAGAGATATGAGCTTCTTCCCAGACAAATCTTTCGATGGTGTCATCGACAAGGGTATGGCCCTCCCCCTTCCCTTAGATCTTCTTTTCACTGTTGCTGGCTTTTCAATTAATTTATTGGTTTGTATGTTGACGTTGTTCTTGCCATCCAAATTTATCCTCCTGAACTCGTGGCCTACCTATCCTCAATCCAGGGACTCTTGATTCTTTGATGGTATGATGTGCATCCAGATTTTCTTATAAATTCTTGTATTAGTCCCGAGGTTCTTAGAACCATTCTTTCCTTAAGTTGATTTTTGTACTATTGTCTGCGTAGTGTGGCAGTGATGCTCCTATCAGCAGTGCCAGAATGCTGGGGGAAGTAAGCAGGTTGTACTATGCTGTTAACAATACACACTTTATTCTTCTTAGAACTATGATGGTGTTGTCTGTTTATTTCAGTACTTGCACCTTATAATTGCAATAACCTTCACTAACTTTTGTTTTCCTTTTGTTCTTGTAGGCTTCTTAAACCTGGAGGAATTTATATGTTGGTAACCATATGCCTTAGTGGAAAGCTATATTCTTTTCATTATTCACCTTATGCTTTTGGAAATTCTTAAAAATAACCGTATTTAAAATTCCTTATATACAGATAACCTATGGTGATCCTAAAGTAAGGATGCCTCATTTGACCGGGTCCATTTACAATTGGAAAATTGCATTGTACATAATACGTAAGTGTTCTTTGCTTTTCCCTCGAACTTTACAGAATATTTCCTCTGTCCTCATAGTTGTTGTATCTTGAAGTGCTTTTTGTTAACTTTAGGTCAGAAATTGATATTTATATTCAACTTGCTAAATCAGGCTTGATTTTAAAATGCACAATCATTGTTTGCATTGCTACAATTTCTCTTTCTAAACTCATCGCACAACCATGTTTTCATTATGCAATTCAAACTTTCCTCGTACGATTGTTATAACTAAATATATTAGTTAAAAGTATCCTTTTAAAGTGTTTGAGCGAAATGCATAGCAGATAAAATGATTCTAAGCATTAAGAATTCATTGCAGAAATAAAAATAAATAAGACAAACCTAGTTAATGAAGAATAGGAAACGGTATAAAGGACAAGTCATATTCTAAGTAAGCCTCACTTTTTTCAGTCTTCTTTGTCATAACTACCAGTTAGACTGATTATTAGCTTTGAGGCTTGATAACTCATAGCTTTTGACTATATCAACTCAGCTGCTCACAGCTGCGAAGCTAGGCATTTTATACATTTAGTTGTCCTTGTGATTGGTTTGGAGTCAAATAAATTGCTATTTCAGTAGCCTATGGGAACAATATGGCTAAAGTTTGGGTACTCACTGTACTGGTGTATACGTTATCTTGAGGAACTTCAAATGGGGATGAAGCCCTGTCCTTCCCATGCACAAAGGATTTGGTCGCATACAGAATGCGTCTGTAGTTCGGAATAAAGTGTGAAATAAAGCATCAGTTTTTCTTGTCTCCATGGTATGCTTAAAATTGTTTAAATATTATAAGATAATGGTTCTATAAATTTAAAATTGACTTTCAACGGCTATGATTAAATTCATAATTGGGGAATTTCAGATTGAGTCGACTATTTACTTTCCTGAAGAGAAAATGGAAGTTATGCAAAGCATATGCAATTGGTAGCATTATTTTGTGATGTTACCAATGATAATAACTGAATATGGGGCACTAAAACTGGCAGCGAGTCAGCTCATAGCTCAATTGCAGCCAGTTATGCCTTGCGATCTCCTCCAAATGATAATATCTAATCAATTTTCGGTTGGTCTAACCATTTGAGCATTTCTTAATCTGCATTAATCCTGCGATGCTAACAGGAAAATCAACCAGCATGCAAGTGTAGGTGCCTGTTCATTATATTCCATGGTGTAGTGGACGAATTAAATAGACAATTTTGAAATTGAAGAAGCATTTTCCTTCTTTTTTGAGCTTTCCATTTTAGAATTTAAAATGTAATCTTTTTGAAGCAATGCATCATAGCGTAAAATTCACATCCCCATTCAAGTGCCATATGTGCACGAGGAATGTGTTAGGATTTTCTATTTGTGATCATGTTTTATCTATGATTTATGCATATCTGTTTTCAGTCCCGTGATTTGTAGCAGACGGTGCATCTGAGTTCTGAATCCTGATTTTTCATAGACTTTATGATGCTATTTTGAGCTTCAATAAGAGGAGCTAGCTTTTTTCTTAACGTTTTCCCATGCTTTTTCAGCTAGACCAGATTTTGAAAAACCAGCTGGTGGTTCATCAAACTCACATTTGGAACCTGTTTCCATTACCGGCACCGGCATACTACCAGCAGATTTTGTTTTGGAAGATCCAGATTCTCACTTTATATATGTGTGTAAAAAGATGGATGAAACAGAGAGAAGTGAGTAACATATCCTCCAACCCATTGATTGCCGATGCTTTATAGGACTAAGTTCCATTCAAGCACTAACGTTCTCCATGTATGATTGTTTTTGGTTATAAGAACTAGTTCTTGGTGTCCTTCCGAGTTTTTGTTACAAAATAGAGATTCTGTTGTTGCTTCCACATTTTAACTTAGCCTCTGGTTGTGCAAATCAATAAAAGGAGCGAACAATATCTGAACCCACTGGAGAAAAGCCAGTGAAACAGGCGTTCCGTGTACCATTTGTAGAAGTGGATTCTGGTTTGTAGCTCAATTTTTTTTTTGGACATAATTACATTGTAAAACTTGTTTCATCGGAGGAGCTGCATCTCTTGGTTCCTCCTTTATTCTATTTGTGTGTCATCTATGAATCAACCTGCTGCCAGCACCAATCGTGTTTCTCTTGCCACTCCCATAGCTAACCAGTTTTATATTAGTGGCAACTTAATTCGTGCAAAGTTTGCCTCGTGTCTTAATTTGTTTTCCTTGATCGACTCCTGTAGGAGTTATCTGACCTGCTCTGAATGGAAGAAATGGATTGGTTATTTTTTCTCGGAAAAGAAATCTAAACCACTGATTTTTTTTATTTTTTTATTTCAGATTTCACAAATAATTTGATGCATTACTCCCAACTTGAGGGAAGTTAAATCCTATTTAATACAATAGACAGATTCCAAAATCAAATGAGGAAGTCGGAGATAGAGATAAATGATAATCCTATCTAATATAGAGCAAACTGGGAAAGAAAATTGAAAAAAGCCTCTCCTCAGATTTTGCTTTCTTAAATTTTAACATATCTGCTTCCAAGAAGAGAAGGAGATGGTGAATGGTATTGATCTCAAAGGTCGTTCCGTGCCAAAAAGTGAAAAAAATCGTGTAATAAGTCTAATTAGGATTAGATGCCGATCGTTCATATGGCATCTGATTTTACCTGGTAGACGCTGCAGGCCACGTACGTAATTAAGATGAATTTATGGGCTTGATCTTTATTTTTCTTAAGTAAATGTCATCAATAACAGTAGGTTTTTTTTTTTTTTTAATCTACGTCGTGTAAATACTAATCACCATAAGAGAAATGTGAATAGTAATTAATTTTATAGAAAACATAAGTAATTTATACTCATATTTTGAAATTGGTCTCGAATTCCATGAGAAAGTATTTGGTACATTAAACATGACATAACAAGTTGTACAATAATTAGTGTATGCATTAGGCATGACAATATAAATTATAAACTGTACACTCTATCAATTTTTATATTTTGAAGTTGGACACGATTCTACTACAATGGATTTGGTAAAAATTATATACTGTTTGGTGTATATATTGAAACACGTTATAATATATGCATTTGAGAGGGCAAAAATTAATCTATATTTGTCTTATTCAAAATTGTCTTAAATGCAAAAATTTTGTTCCACCCTAAAGGTGGAACAAACTTGTCTAATTCCATTAAAAAAATAATTATTTTTTAATTTTTCATAATATCCATTATCGATTTGTCACTCATTTGCTTGTTAATTTTATTGAATAAAATTTGACAGATTTTATCCATATTTTATTAAAATGAATGTGTACATGTAGGGGTTTAATTGAAAAAAATATTAATTCAATAACTAAATTGCATACACTAAAACATTACAGGACCAACAAAATTTTCATTAAAAAGATTAAAATGTCATAAAAATAAATTATCAATGCTTGTCCTTTCCGTTGTACCAAACACGTAATAAAAACATATAATTATCCAAATTCAGTTTTGTCTAATCTACTCCAATCAAATCCAATCCTATTTGTCTCCTTACGGTGTCTCATCTACTTTTGGAATTAGACCCCGCATGTGAAATCTGATCCTACAAGACCTCCATTAACAAAATCTGTCAAATTGAATAGATGGAGAACAGAACCAGCATATGCTGAGCAGTTGCCTTGGAGCGATAAGAATTAAAGTGTGAAACTACATGCACGGCAGTTGCAAGCTCCTCATCTGCTAATTTATTTCACAAACTTCATTAATACAAACTTATATCGGAGATTTGATCGTATTTCAATGGTAGATTAATACATTCAACTAGTAATGCACGGATACGTTTTTAAAATCGTCTAAAAATTTTAATTTTGAATTATACATAAATTGATTTAAAAATATTTTTATTATCAACTAATAATGTAAAGTAATAATAATTTAAGATTACATCGGAGACTATTTTTAAAGCACATAGATAAATTAATTGATTTTTATTTAATTTTATTGTATTTTTATTCACTTTACACACCTAAAATGAGAGGATTAAAAAAATAAAAATTAATAGATTTTTGGTCTAATGGTAAAAAATTTCTTACCCCTCTAAAGAATATAGATTTAAATTTTCTCTATTTAAACTTTTTTTAAAAATATATCTCCTGTAGCTCCCATGTCTTACTAAATACTAAACTTCACTAATCACTCAGTTCCTATTTAAACCATGTCTAACCTGAACTTTGTGATCGTAAATGATTAGGTTTATGTTTATTGGTAAAAGATGTCTTAAGTTTAATCTCACAAACTTAGTTTTTTTCAAACTCTTGAGCTTCACTTGATCCATTTCTTTTGTTTATTAAACCGAACCAATATATATTATATAAACTTTTTATATTGTTTTCTAAAGTTTATAATTCTAATTTACATTCTTGGATCAGATTATATTTTCTGAAATGGGATGGTTTGGCTAAATGAAAACCTAATCTATAGATAGTTTTTAATTTTTCAATAAATGGATATATTTAATCTAATGGTTATGTGCATATATTTATATATAGACTCTTTCTAGAATTTGTTAAGACATATCTAGATTTTTTTTTTTTTTGGATAATGTAGAAGCTTCTTCAATACTCCAGAGTTTTTCAAAACTTCTAAATTTATTTAACATTCCCAATTAATCTCTAAAAACGTCCGTCTTCGTGCCGTGGGTAATGGGTAACATTAAGGTCTCAACCAAGCAATGGGGTGAAAATAAAAGAATTCGAAAAGGGGTGAAAAAAGGGAAGATGAGGAATACCCATCATTATAGCCATTCTAATTTTAGCACATCTTCTGCTCAATTCTGTCAAAGATTCGCAAAATCTGCAATAATAAATTACTACTTACATATTAAAATCAGAACCAGAAGAAGATGATCATCTATTGACATCTAACACCCCAATGATACCCAAAAAGTGCAGTCTAACTTTGGAAGTGGAGATGTGCCCTCTTCCTCCAAGATACGGTCTAGAATTTTGGCGCACCCTTTGCTCTAAAGTAGCCAAAATCACCAAAAACTGGTAATTAACCAAAAATCCCATTCATAGCAAACACCAGTTACCATATGGCAGTACAGAAATTTACCAAGTCCCACCACCAGTCAAATCCTCCAATGCAGCCAAAATGGCAGTGCAAATTACAAAAATACAGTGCCTTCACTGTTAAGCCTTCTCTATTTTTGGCAGTGCTTTTGCCAAGTCTAGCATAATAAATTACTGCACTAAATGTAGTACATCTACAAGAAGCTAGCGTTAAACCCTGCGAACAGGAAAAGCAATTTATTATCCAACCCTAAATGTGGTAAAAAGTAATGAATATAAAAGAAAAAGGAGTAAAATTGGCATAGGAGGAGGGAGGGTTATCTCTCTCTCTTCCTCTCTCTCTCTCTCTTTTTTTTTTTTTTTTTATGTGCCCTTTGGAAAATAGCAAAGAGATGCAAAATAGTAACACAACGCTACTATTTATGGTATATGATCTCTAATAAATGGCACTAATGAACTAGAGTACTAAATCTAGAATTATGGACCCAAACCATTTTAAAAACACAGCAAGATATGCATTCAAAATAGCCTTGACCATTGCATACTCTAGATTTGGCAGAGATGCATTAGAAAATGCCAAGTGAAGCAAGATTATATAGATATAAAAAAGCATAAAAAATTAGAAAATACAGATAAAAAAAAATGCTGAAATAGCAATACAAGACCTCCAAACGGGACAAAACCTGAGGGTCCCACAAAGTAGAGCTATTAGCACCTAACCACCTCCAAATGTGGCAAAGGAATCATGCAGCAACACTCTCTCTAAATAGGAGTACAGAGCCATGCAAACTGGCCGTTTGCATCCACTCTCTCAGGCCTTTTGTGTCAATAAAAACGCTCTCCCTCTCTCTCTCCACCTTTTTATCTTCTCTTCTCTATATTTAGCAACCCCCAATAAAGCCACTTTCATTTTTGTATCTAGAGAAATTAAGAAAGCAAGTTCTTTTCTTTGCTTTTGTTTTTGTTTGAAGACTTGACCATTGACATTGGTTTTTTTTTTATCATTTTTTTTTTAAAGACTCCGTCTTTTAGCTAGGTTTCTCGAGGGGTTTTGATCCATTGGGTCTTTGTGTTTTCCAGTGAAAATTATCATGGGGAGAGGTAAGATTGAAATTAAGAAGATAGAAAATGCAAATAGCAGGCAAGTCACGTTCTCGAAAAGAAGAGCTGGGTTGCTTAAAAAGGCTCGAGAACTTGCCATTCTCTGTGATGCTGAGGTTGCTGTCATTGTTTTCTCTAACACTGGCAAGCTTTTTGAGTTTTCCAGTTCCAGGTATGCACAATCTCTGTTTTGTTTTGTTTTATATATATGTTGCTCATGAGCAAAAATAAGTTCTTTTTGGTAAAGTTTTGGTCTTTAATAGTTTTTTTTAGGCCATTGCATGCGTTACCTGGTGATTGCATACTTCGCTGATTTATGTTGTGTTTTTGGATTTCATTTTAGCTAGTAAATTGTTTTTTGTGAAAAAAAATGGATTCTTTATTATTATTTTATTATTTTTGTATTGATGAACTTTTAGTTTAGTTTTTATTTTGTCAACTTCACACTAAAATTAACACATGGCCCTGAGATTTTTTTTTTTAATTACTGTTGCAATTTTCTTAATTCAGTGGTTGTAGGTAGGGTGCTTCTTATTTTATTTGAGCGCTTACTCGACTAGTAAAATCATGGGGTTTTAAGCATTTTTTGCATGTGACTTTGGATTATATCTGCTGCCTGCTGGGAGTTTTTTTTTTTTTTCCCAGAGGTTTTCTGAGATAGATTTTGCAGGGTTTTAGCTTACATTGATCAGCAGAACACTATTGTGCCTGTGAATTTGTTATATACATCAGTGGATCCTCAAATTTTCTCTTTGTGGAGTAATCCTGGCAAATAAAGTAACGAAGCAAGATGAACTCTCAGTTCTATTTCTTGGCTTTGTGGCTTTTGTATGGAAATTTTTTATCTTAAGACTTTTGCTCTAGTAGTTTCAGGAAAGGAAGGAGATTTAATCTACTGAATACTGACAGGTTTCAACCATATATTGTACTTCTTTAGTCATGGAAATTTCGGATGATCCCTCCTATTTTCTTTTTCAACCTCTTCTCAAAATGTTTATATCACTCTGTTTTTTCGTGCTTAATTTGTTTATTTGTCTGGAGAAAAAATTATGTTCCTCAAATTCTTTGAAGTGTTTGTCAGTTTGCTTTTATCTAAACTCTGAAGCATGCTCAGCTAATAAAAATATAAGATTGTCGCAAAAGCTAAACCGAATCATTTTTTACCAAGAAGAGCAAACAACATAAATGTTTCCGTTTGGGTGTCAAGTGATTGACATAAAAGTAAAGAAGTGGATGTGCGACCAATTTTGTTTGATTGTTTGCTTTAAAAAATTTTTTGTAGAAGATGGAGGAGAATGAAAGTTCTGAATTTTCTTATTGTTTTTGGCAGCATGAAGAGAACACTTTCGAGATATAACAAGTTCCTAGATTCCTCAGAGCCAGCTAATATAGTATACAAGGCTGAGGTAAGTCTTTGATTCATGTTTTCACTCGCACCTTATGTTCTTGTGCGTCTCTGTGTATGCTGGCATGTTTGTGGCATGCCTATTTAAAAGAGGTGGTATTATTTTTGTTTCCTTCTTATTTTTAATTCTTCTTCTGATACAGGGTCCCTTCTTTTTCTGTGCTAGTATGGGGTTATCAAATGCAATTTTTAGAGAATTCAGGAAAAGAGAATCAAATGTGAATAAATGCATTTCTTTTTGTAGGCATTACAATTTTTCTTGATTAGTTTTGATTATGCAATGCCTTGAAGATTTGTAGATTCCTAGGCATATCTACCAAATGTAAGATGTTTAATGCCTTTCTGCCTGGATAGACTTTGTTTGGAAATTTTATGCAAACTATCAGTGAAGTTAAAAAGAACAACAGATACTAACTTGTTCCCTCAGTTTTTACTTATACATTTTGGGATCCTCACTATGTTTGATAAATAGCCTATAAGTGTGGCAGTTGGGATTGTTGATTCGGATATGAAGTAAAATTATCAAGCAGCTTCATTGAGCTTTGGATTTAGGGATCGCACAAAGCAGGAACCTAGAGCATTGCCAGCAGGATCTTTGTTCCCCCCCCCGCCCCCCCCTCACACACAAATAAAAGATGCAGGGAAATGCTTCCCAGCAGTAGAGTTGAAATAAAACATTAAGACAGAAATATCTGAAATTGGAAACATTGGAGAAAATTAATGAGATTTTGAGTCGCTCTCTCCCTTTTTACCGCTTAGCACTTGCAGAATGTTATTCATTTTGTTTGTTTTTGGTTTGGGCAAGTATAATACTCTGCGTTTTGTATGAGATTTGTTAGCAGTTACTTTTTTTTTATTAATGTTGCCAACTGTACATTCTTCTTCAGAAACAAGACTCGAAAGAGGTGGATGTTCTAAAAGAAGAAATTGCAAAGCTACAAGTAAAACAGTTGTATGTCAGCACTAAATTATTTGATTGTTTCAAAATTTAACTTTTGGCATCATGCAAGATCTTATTGTCTGTCTGTGATTCTGAGCTTATAGGCGACTTTCGGGGAGGGACTTGACTGGATTGAGCTTAAAAGAATTGCAACACCTAGAAAAGCAATTAAATGAAGGGTTGTTATGCGTGAAAGAGAAAAAGGTTCTGCTGAATCTTTCTTCTTTTTCTCATACAAGGTCCATTATGAAAGAAAAACTGGGAGATTGTTTGGTTGTTTGTGGTGGATTAATACAAGTTTTACCTTTGCAGGAGCAGTTACTGATGGAACAATTAGAGCAATCAAGAGTACAGGTAACTGGACCTCTTAACGAAGCACGTTTTCCTTTGACCTAAATCCTGTTTTCCTTAGCCAATGTACATTAAAGTAGTGTCCTTCTGAATTATGGAATCATTTTCAGAAGAAAATAAGAACATACTTGCAGCAATTGATTTTTTTGTTATATTTTATCTTAGGTTTTTTTGAGTAAGGTTATGATCCATCCTGTTATGAAAACTGGAACTCTACTTCAGAGTAGTTCATTTAGTTTTTTGTTTCCAGGAACAGCGGGCTATGCTGGAGAATGAAACTTTGCGCAGACAGGCAAGGGATAGTTTTCTGATTTAAATATGATTTTCTTTCTTTTCTTTGAGAAGTCTGACATGTATAATGGAATGCATTGTTTATTCTTTACATTTTGAAGGTTGAGGAGCTTCGAGGTTTCTTTCCATCAACTGATCACTCAGTCCCAACTTATCTTCAATACTATGCGACTGAAAGGAAGAATTCTCCCATAGACAATGGCTCCACAAGTCCTCCTGTAGCCTTCAATTACTCCATTGAGAAAGTCGATTCAGACACGACTTTGCATTTAGGGTATGCTGTTTTTCTTGCATTATTCAATTCAATTATTATGAACTGGCACATTGGTTTCTGTCGGTAGTCTTTCAGCCTTTGCTTTCTTGCACATTAAAACGCAAACCACCCTCCCTTTCGCTGAAGTTTAAAATCTTCATACAATGTTTTGACGGTTCATTTTCTTCAGGAGAGTTGCCAAGGGTTTTTGCCAGACAATTGACCTTCTTGTACCCTCCTCTTTTCCTAGATATGGACATATTTTTATTCTATTACCTCCTTGATAGCAGAGGTTCCATCTCTCTTTTATTCACGAGGATTCAATCTCATTCTCTTTCGCGGAGGATTTGAAAGCGTTGCCTGGTCAAACTATTATCGCTTATAGCTACTATGTCACCGGATCTCATTCTCACATATACTCTACATTTCCCAGGCTGCCAGCTGACGCGTATCGCAAGAGGAAAGCTCTAGACGGAGAAAGCCATTCCAATGATTCTGATAGCCGACTCAGCCTGCTGTAATCTTATCCTCCTTGCCATTCTCCCGTACTGTTACTATAGCCAAGAAAACTGAAATGAAAATGCTACAGTTGACTAAAGTTTCTCTTGAGACATCAGTTTGGCCAACCAAAAGAAAATCATGAAAAAAGCGGTTTGAAGATGTTGATTTTATAGGTGAAAAGATTGAAATTTCCAGTGAGGCAGAAAGAAAAGAACTGTAGTTGGTTTGCCTAAATTTAGAATGGCATGTAGTGCTTAGTTTATTGCAATGACTAAAATGATGCACTTCTCGTTCAGCGTAGTAGATGAGACGAAGTTCTACTCTTCTCTATCCAATCATTTGAACTTCTTGTGAGATTACAAAATGTCTTAATAGCTTATTGTTACCAAGCATTGCAGTCAATCCAGTAATGACATGAGCCTGCGCAAGCCAGATGGATGGAAACGCCTCGAACCAACTAGGCTACACCCCTCTCTTCGTTATTTTCCAGCCTGTTAATACATCTAGAAACCTGCATTATATCTGTACTTACAACATAAATATCGACTGCGTGAATGATATCATGGTGACAATTTTCACAACAACGTACAACTTACGAATGATTACGTAGTTGCAATAAGAAAAAACTACAATCAAATAATACAACCTATGTACAGAGGATCAACATAATTATTGTTTCCTAAGTCGAATGCCATCTAGCAATTCGTTTCTTTCAGCCAATATTTTGGAGAAGAGAGAGTTGACTTCCTTCTCCAAACCATCCAGTAGCTGCTCGAACGCTTTCAATCTTCTCTGCATCTCCTCAGCTTGATTACTTACCTTTTCAATAGCCGTGGCAGCTGCAATGCAAGCTGCTGCATCATTCAGCTCTTTAACCTCCTTTAACACAACCCCTCTATCCATCATTGCTTCAGAAATACTCATGTCCAGTTTGATCACTGAAGAGTTAGAGAACATACCAGCCGATTTTCTTATCTCCAAGTATGCCTTAGCATCACCGGACAAACCAGCCAACAGAACATAACATACCCAGAATCCTACACTCTTTAGTTCTATCAAAGCTTGATTAATGATCCATTCCTCATCAGATAAAGGTAGGTCTTTCTCATTTTCCTTGTCATCTTGGCCTTCGAAATCCTTGATTGATCTGTTGAACTTGATTGCGTTGAAATGCTCGATTGCTGAGGAAGGTGAACTCTCCACAAGGCTCAAAGCATGAGCCGAAGAAAGCCGAACTTGTCCTAAATGAGACAGGGAAGAACTAATAGAGTTAAGAAGATCCAGCAAGCTCAAGCTATACTTGAGATATTCTTCAATGGACTGAGACTTCCATTTGCTCGTATGGTAGTCTATATCAACAACTAGCTTCGCAAAAGCTTTATTGATCGAGGGTATAAGCTGAAAACATTGTTGGATCCACGAGAAGGACAGGATTTCTGACCCGGGTCTCAAATCCAAGCACAATTTGTGTACGCAGTCTGAAACATCGGATCTAAAAGCCTGTAAAGTAGCTGATAAGGCTTCAGGTTGCTGGCTCTGGTGATGGTTCTCCAGTTTGAAGTATAGTTTGCTAATCCTTTCCACCAAGAGTACCATTTGCCACTCAATATAAATTAAGGGAGTTTTTTTTTTTTTGGTAGAAATTCAAAGGGAGCTTTGAATGTTTGGTTTTGGTCAAATTTTGGTGTCTGTATTGAATGCAAGATTGGCATATATACTAGTAGTTTGACAAGTTGATCAGACTTTGCTTTAGCCGAAACAGCAACACAAAAAGGGGGCAAAAACCATTAACTCATGCGGCCCTTTGAATGCCAATAAACAGAGAAAAAAGGGTGGCAGTCAAACGTGCTTATCTTATCTTATTGCATTTCCTTCTTCAGTTACACCCTCTAACACGTTAAAAGCCTCAACCACCAATCAACAACATGCTTAAACACAATTAGGACCACTTGTGCCTTCCTTAATTTGCAAGCAAAGACAAGAAGGATAACGTTATACGAGGACAGTAAGTTGTAGATCACCAAGAAAGAGGAGACGGAGCTTCCCTCCACTTGACCATCATCTGCACTAAATAATTAATTAATGAAGAGGGTCATGAATTGCTTGCAAAAAATGTGCTTTTAGGATATGTTGCTGTATCATAGGAGGATGTTTTTACACACTTACAACCCTTTTCGAATTTGTAAATTTTTACCATTATGTTTGAAAAATCCAACTTCCCTTCTTCCACACAAATTCAATTACTCAAATTAAATCTTTTATTTTTATTTTTCTACTCAAAGTTAAAGTATTCAATATTTTAATTTTGCAACTTGATGAAAGCTACACCCGCGTATGGTTGACTTCAATGCCAATGACACACACAGCTAGATTACTATTTACATACACACATACATATATTCTTGCATCAAAAGTTCTTTAACATGGATTAAACTCATATAATTTTTTTATTTGACAGTAAAGATATTTTTAAGTTAATTTATACATCAATTAAGTTTAAATTCTCTTGTTTTTTAAATAATTTTAAATATATCATCTTTATATCTATCCTGTGCATTAATAAATTTTTTTATGTGTTAGTTTTATCTAAAAAGTTCAAGAAGAGAACAAATTTCTTTAATCATTAGATTAATTTTTTAAGATTAAAATTATTAAAATCATCTAGAAAGAGATTTAATTTTGATTACTATGCAAATTAGTCCAAAAATATTATAATTATAGAATTTAAAAAAAGAAGAAAATTTTAATTTCTTGGTACATGGCGTCAGATTTTATATTAATTACGAACAATCAAGGGGCCAATTAATTGATGGGTCCAAAATGGGTCTATGCTATCGCCTCTTCTTTTTCCTTCCTAAACCATCTTCCACGAGGGCAGAGGCAGAACTAGGAAATTTAATTATTTGATTCACATTATTATTATTGTAGGCAGGCGGGAATTAATATATCATCATACAAATCAACCGTGTGGGTGGATGAATTAATATAGCATGTCCAGTGCATAGATAAACGCATATGCTGACATCATCATCATTAATTAATTATCAATATCTATGGCTCAAATATTTAAGGTCAAAAGAATACTTACAGGAAACTTTTTATGCATGCCAAAGATAATTTGATTAAGGAAGAGCAGCGGGGACCCGCATCTCTTTCAACGCGGAGCAGGTCGAAGATGGCGTGTTTATGTATATATAATCTGCCTTCGAATTTATAATTAAGAGTACCTTACATGTACTTAAACGTGGTAAACTCAATTTAAAAAAGAAGAAGAAGAAGAAGCGAAGATTGGAAAAAGTTGAGTGCACCAATAGTGAATGCACACAATATTTATAGTAATTTGGTAAATCTAAGACTTAAGTCCACCATAAGGAGATCATGCTATACTGTTGGTTATTATATAAATAAACTCAAATCTCGAAACGTGTAATTACATCCAAGATAAATAATCTCTACAAAATTGCAAAACCTCACCACAAAATTCTCTTCTAAAAGTTCTATTTATACAACATTACATGAAAACTTGGCTGGTAATGAAAGGTGATTTTTATAATTAAAATTTCATTGAAAATCAATGAAATAATTAAGTTAGAAACAAATATTAAAGTTTAAAAATGCAAGGATTTCATTGAGTCTCTAATTAACTACGAATTGAATAATAGCTTACGCCGTACAGGTAAACATTGGTATAAATGCACTGTAACTAAATCAATTTTTAAGTTTATTCAATTGAATATTTAAATTTAAAATTTTTTATTTCAGTACATAATTTTTTTTTTTAACTTGATAACGTGTTTGTTAAGTCCAAAATATAAAATTATAATTTTACTCTCTTTTTTCTCAATTGATTACGTGAACTTTAACTTTTTTTCAGTCGAACACATTGATTTTTTCAAAACTATCAATTAAGTATTTTTATTAATTTGTTTATTAATTGATGAAGTAATTGTTGCTTTCATAATATCAAATTACAAATTTGCTTCTTCTTTTTTTTTTTTTTTTGTTGGAGGTAATTTTTCTCTCAAATTATTCTACTATTTCAAAATTTGACAAAAAATTGAAAAACTATATTATTTTTTAACTATGATTATTTTTTAACTATAAAATCCCGAACTAAACTCGGTTAAATTTAGGTGTAAAAATTAAAAGTAAAATACAAAAGCTAGATTTTTTGTAAAAAAAAAATCCATTGCTTTTGAGTACTTGGGAGGGGGTTCCTCAAATAAAAAAGACAAAATTATAATTTGTATTTTAAGAATAATGAATACATCATTATTTAACGAAAAAATTGATGAAAGTATTTTATTAGTTGTTTTGAAAAAATCGATGCACTTAAATAAACAAAATTAAAATACATGTAATCAATTAAGGAAAAAAGTTATAATTTGGTATTCGAAGATGGCGGACATGTCATCTCTTAATGTAAAAATTGAAGAAAGTACTTGATTGATAATTTTTTAAAAAAATTAGCACATTCAAATGAAAAAACTAAAATCGATATGTTAGATTGATTAAAAAAAAACTGAAAATTGGTGTAATTCAAGTGTTGTTACTCTTTTAAACATTCCCAAAAATTTGCATGGACCCATGACACAATACACTCAAAGTGACCAAATAGTCACATTAATATGTAAAAACTATCTTTAAGTTAATGTTAATTCAATTAAAGATATGGACTGCCTTTAAAAAATGATATTTATGACATATTTAAATCTACGAAGAAACAGTGGATTTTCACCGATTAAAATTGAACGAGTCGGTTGCTCATGCTACGTTGTAGGTTGATAGAATAAAATCATTTTAATTTGATAGTTCATGTTATTCTGCAACTATACTAAAATAAATTGAATCAAAAGTTAAAAATAAATAATTAATTAATTTTTAATGAAAATGTTGTATTTAAATAATTCTTCTTTATTTTGTTTTTTTCGTAAACTTTCTACTTAAAAACAATATGATTCGTTTTTCTATATACATTAATTTTTAAATAAAAATTTAATCCAAAATTAAAAAAATGCTTTAAAATATAGTTTTCATAAGATCGTATATATATATAAAAAATCTACCTTTAATGTATGAATTTGTATAAAAATTAACACGTGAAAAATGATTTTTATTTTTATTTAACATTGACAATAATATTATTTTTTGAAAACATGTACATCTGACTTGTATATATTTATTCATAAAACTATCAATAATGTTAGTATAAAAAAAATTATTTGAATTATTAGGTGGTTCTATTAAAATTTTATTTTAAAAATTTTGGTTTATAATATTAAAAAAAATACTCATAACAAGTGATTAATGTTATATGTGCGAGATGTATATTTATTTTTCAATAAAACTGATGATTTAATAGTTTTTTTTATATGTCATGATTATACTTAGTGAGCTAAAATAAATTATCTTAAATACACCTTTAATCTTTAAATTATATACACATACACACAAATCATTTAAAAATTCTAAGAATTTATGATATATATTAATATCAATTTTTTTAAAAAAAATCATATTTTTAATTTTATTTCAAAATGCATACATAGGAAAAAAATTATATTTTTCAGTAAATATAATTTTATATAAAAAAAATTAATTGAAATTTTATATAAAAATGACAAATTGAAAGAATAAATTTTACAAAATAAGAGTATTACAAATGTAAAATATACGTTCACTTTAAATATATAAAAAAAATATTATAATAATTTATCATCACTAGGTTATGTAAAAAAGACAAATAATAACGTTCGATCTTCTATGATTTTTGCTTAAAAATTCTTAATAAACAAGATTATAGTAAAAAGGAAAAACAAGGTGCAAGCTGCATGCTTGGGCCTGAAGCACTTGACCCGTGCACTTGGGCCTGGATTACCAGGCTTCCCTGCAAGTCAGGTTCAAAAAGAATGAAAAAGAAAGCACACGATGCGTCGTCCCTGTAATTTTCAGCAAAGAATAGTTTGCGGGAAAAGTTGCAGAAAAAGGGATTTTAAATTTTCCGGCTTTTCAAACCCAAACTCAGCTCTATTTTTGTCTAAAAATAATAATAAAAAAAATCAACAAATTCATTTAGAATCTCCAAATTTATTTTAATACACACAGAAAATCAAATTAGAATAAAAAAAAACTTAAAAAATATTTTGGATTTCAATTCACCTCCTTTAATTATTTCATGATTTGTAACTATTAAAAAACAATTTTACTCTTCAAAAAGAACAAATTGATGGTGATTTAGATTGTAAAGGTGGTAGAAATGAGTTTTGCAGTTCTTCTCTCTCCATCATTCTCTTTTTCTTCATTTCTCTATTCTCTAAGTAGTCGAGTAACCAAAATGCAATATAAATAACGTTCGAGATCGAAATAAAAGTTTCTTAAAAAAATAAATGATCAAAACTCAAAAACAAAGCAAACTTGCTTATAAATGTGCATACAAGTAATTGAGTGTGAGTGAATGGTGCATATATGTGTGTATGAACCTTGAAAGAAATAACGATTGAATATTGGATTTATATTTTGTTAGTAATTAGTAATTGTGGGTCAAATATTAAAAAACTCTTATTTTCTTGATTTTTTTGATTTCTAATTAAATAACT